AGGTTTTTCACCAGAATTTTGATGCTCGGAATAGTCCTGATGGTGCACAGAAAGAGAATGTATGGAAGAGGTGGTGGAGGAGAGACATCGGAGCATGGGGTTGAAAGCTTAAGACGATCGAGTTGTTGTAGAAAAACACATTTGCTTTTCAAACTCTTACTATAGAGCTTTTTCTCTCTCTCTTTCTTGCTTTCTCTCTCTCTATGAACGTGAGACGGAGGGATTTCATGCGCACATGCTTCGTTGCCATACAAGGAGTCTTGCATATATTTAAACAATAATATTATAAATATTTATTCTGTGGATTGTCTGGATTCTGTACATCGTTTAAGCACCCGCATATTTCGACTTTTCCTTAATTTATCCGATATTTTCTTTTCGTCCAGCAAAGCTTCTGCCTAGAAAACATACGAAAGGTTCAGAAAATTCAGAATGAAACGAACATCAAGACGACTCCGACTGTCAGCTTTGCTTTTCCTTCGAGTTTTCGGTGATAATTTCGATAATTTGTCCTTCAAAAGCAATCTTCTTTCTAACATTATTCGATTCAGATTCTTCGGTTCAATGCCTTCTCTGCAACATTGAAAGAGTTCAAACAGATGACTGAGTAGAGAAAGGAGAAACAACAAGAGTTGAGAATGAAGAAACAAAGAAAGAGAAACAGACATCTGAAATGCTTTCTAACCTGTAACATGTGGCTGGAGCTGAGCTTGTACTTGCTTCAGCTAGTGGCCATTGAATTCCAGTCTCAAACACTTCATTAATGTTTTTGGAAAAAGATTCATAATTTCTTAGATCATCAGAGGAGTCAATTATTCTAGAATTTCTTGAAAGGACGAAATCAGTTGACAGCTAGGTAAAGAAGCTTCAAACCTGTTAGATGAGCAGTCCATCTCTAGAACAGTCTGGGCAGATGACTGAGAGAGCTGAGTTGGTGTTGTTGAATTAGAATCAATCATCGACTGATTGTTTGAAAGATTTGAATTCTTCTCTGGATGCTCATGAGATACGACGTCAGTTTCTTCATTCGCAAGAGATTTTCTTTCAAAATAAAAAAATTTATTTTTGAATCAAAACTAACAACAATGACTAGAATTATCTGAGTTTGTTAAGTGACGATCACAAGCAACTTATTAAACACAAAGCTTCGTTAATGAAATAAAAAAAAACGAAAATCATTAGATGAAGCTGAACTAAACATGTGTTTACCTCGTATTATACATTCCCCTAATTCGCTCGAAATAAACCGCTTCCGATTCTAATTCCGTCGATATTTGATCTGCTTGAAGCTGCTCAATGGCGTCAGCATCAAATTGAACCCTTTTAAATATTGTAATTAATAGTTAAAAATAAATTTTGTTACTTTATAGGACATGTTGGTTCAATGGCCGGATCATGATATGTATTGAAAAACGGTAAAGCTAAAGCTTCTTCTGCTGAACTTCTTCTCCAGGGAGCTAATTGAAGAAGCTGAAAACATTTAAAAATGCATTTATACATTTGAATAAAGCCAATTACTCGTTCAATAACTAATAAAGCATCTCCAGTAGCTCTTGATACAACCGCACTCCATGGCAAAGGATCTTTTACGCCACAGTCTGTTATCCATTCACGAACTCTTTCCAATGGAATTCGTTGCATAACCTTCAAAACAAAACAAATGCAAAATCTGCTTCCTCATATGAACGTACTTCTCGTTCGGGTGTTCCAAGATAGAAAACAATCATCTTAACTTGTGAAACACCATCTTTTCCAGGAAATAACTGTCTTCTCATAATCATTTCAGCAAAAATACATCCGGCAGACCATAGATCGACTCTCAAATAGAATAAAAATAATTTGAAAGAATAAACTTAAAACTACAAAATAAAATGATAATAATATACTTTGTATCGTATTCATTCATATGAAACAATAGCTCCGGAGCTCTATACCATCTGGTTGATACATATTGCTATAACAATATAATTATATATTATTAATTATATGAAATAGATATATTATACCGTCATAGCACTTTCAGTATCTTGCGTGGCTTGTTCCGTTGATCTAGCCATTCCAAAATCAGCAATTCGTAATAAACAATCACCATTTACTAAAAGATTGGATGGTTTCAAATCTCGATGAACAATTCCTACTGAATGAAGATACTGTAATACAGCATAATTAGCATAATTAGATTATTAATTATTTGTTTGTTTTTTTTTACTTTTAATCCACGTAGCAGTTGATAGAGAAAATATTGAAAATGTGATTCTTCTAAATGCTGTTTACTATGAATAATCTGGTGTAAATCTGTCTCCATGAGTGTCATAACCATATAGATATCTTTTCCCTAATTATTATATATAGTTAAAACATAGAATATTAATTATATAAATGCATACCGATGTTCCTTGCGCTGTGAATACATCAAGCACAGAAATAATATTTTCATGACGTAAATCTCGAAGTATTCGAATTTCTCGTAGAGATCGTTTGGCTAACGTATGAGCTGTGAAAGCTCCACGAATCTTCTTAATTGCTACTCCTTTACCCGTTGGCTGCAAATGAAAAAAATTATTCTTTTCATAAGCAAAAATATATGCAACCGTTCAATTGTTGTTTTTCGAAAGAAAATAAACAAAACTCGAAAATGTAAGCTTCAACGCTTCAATTAGCATACGTCTAACAAGATCAGTGCATATGGGAAAACACGTGAAAGACGTGAGAATATTAAAATTTTGATTTGAAACAACTGACTGTGATGAGAAAAAATATTTTTTTGTTTCAATTAAAGGTTTGATCAATGACGTATTAGAGCATGAAAACAAAGCAAAAAACGAACCAAATGAGATGCTTTACAGACAATGCCATAAGCACCATTTCCAATATTTTCAGCAGCCAAATAAGGTGTTCCATCCAAACGAAATTGAATATCAAACTGAGAAGAGTTGTTCAACATATTGCTTATCTATATAATTATAATTATGTGAAAAGGAATATTTAAAATATAATGTATATGCCTTACATTGATATGTGGAGATCAGGACATTGAGTTGTTTTATAAAGTACGGTGATAAAGCTGCAAATGGAAACTTTAACTAAATGTAATATCGATTGATGATGTGAAGAAGGTGGGGGGGGGGTTGAAGCACCTTAGCCAAAATAATGCTTTAACGACAATAAAGAGAAGGAAATGAAAGAAAACGTTTTTGAGATAAGAATAATGGAATCAGTGGAAATAAGATAAAGAATATTTTTATCGCCAACGAATCACATGTAAGCTGATGAGAGGGAAGAAGCTTATGAGACATGTCTTATCAAAGTAAGAAAAGTTTTTGTTGAGAAGTTAAATACACAGAAATTGAAGTACATGTGCTTAGAAATTCGTTTAAGAGAAATATTTAAAAAGCTTTTATGAATTATAATCTATGGAACCTAATTGTTTTCGAAAAATTTCACCCTTGGAGACCTTGACTGACCTTGTTCACTTTTTTTTTGGTTAAGACAGGAAGATATTCAAACATTTAAACAAAAAAAAATATTGAAAGAAGAAAAACGTATGAAAAGCAGAAATGAAGCTTCTGATAGAAAACGATACTTAGAGAGTAGAAGAAGAAGCTTATAATTGTATAAAGAGAGAAAGGGTAAAGAAGGATGAGATTGGAAATGGAGGGGGGGGGGAAAGGTAACGGAAGAAGATGATTGCCCTTATACGTCATTTAGACAAATGAGGGGAAAGAAGAAGAAATAAGAGAAGATCATTGATTTCCTATTGTGATAAATAGCTTTCCCCCCCATCTTTCATAATTTTATTTTTAAAAGAACAAACATATTATTTAAATGATAAAATAAATAAAAAAATTGAAAAAGAAGAAATGAAATGATGAAGAAAGACAGACGATGTGTTTAAACGATATCGGAGGTCTTCTTTTATTACATAATTACCATTAACGAATGTGAATGATTTTGAAAATCAAATGAAAATCTAGAAAAATCAAGAAAATTTCCTTCTTTTTTTTTTGTTTCTTCTATTATGATAAAATGATGGAAAATGTTCAAATAGAACAAGTATTGAGTAGATTATTGATTAGCTGACTGGTTGAACAAGATGGCGACGTTAGATGATGAAGATGATGACAACAATGGACGTTAACCCCTTGATGAACCTTTCGATGCCAAAAGTCATCTGACCAATATTTTAACTTCTTCCGCTTCATATTTAAACCGTCTTCATGGATATATTATAAAACGGATAGTAGATGAAAGCATTATAAGCATTATGAAAGAGATGAAATGAAGAGAGAGAGAGAGAGAAAGAAAGAGAATAGTGGGGAAACGTTAACGAAAATGGGGTGAATAAGACGCTTCTGCAGTTTTCTAAATTCTGATGACGAAATACATGAATGACAACCTCTGATGGCTTGGAACTATCAAGGTGTATGTCTGAATGTGTATATGTGTGTATGCGTGTGTGTGTGTGTAAGTGTGTGACCGGTTTGCCATTCACATTTTTTTGATCGCTGACTTTCACGTACAAACACGTGAAATTAATGTTTTTTTTGCTAATTTTTCAAGAAAAAAAGCCTTTTCCTCCTTCTCTATCTTTCTATCTCTGTCCCTGCTAATGGTGTCTCTTCATCTCTTGTACTCTCTCTCACTTCATGTTGCCATATGAAGACATTGATATGACAAAAGTTTTTTTATGTTGGAAGAAAAGATGAAGTATTACATTTAGAATGTTATTGTTCAATGAGCAACAATGTTTTATTCAAAGATTGAGCAAAGGTTGGAATAAAAAGAAATTGCTAGTTTGAGGAAAATAAAATGAAAGGTTGTGAGAACTACAAAAGTCAAAAGAGATTTCTTTTTTCTATTTTCTCATTAAATTGATAGCAAACGGATGACGTAGGTAGGGAGATGGGAAGGGGGGGGGAGACTAGAAGAGCGGTCCTGGAGCGAAAATGCCCAGAAAAAAAATTTATCTAAAACTGTTCGTAGATATTATCAGCAGCTTATCAGTGGCTAGTCTGCTTTTCCTGTGTTTCTGATGATGTTTCAATAATGACGTCATCGGTTGAACGAGCATTAGAAGCGTCTTCACTCGAAGAATTTTCTGATGTCGAAAATATTTTGTTTCGAAAAAAGACAACTTCACGCGAAACTTCCATTACAGGCTGAAAGAGAGGATATGATGTATCTAATCAATAACAAATGAATTATTTAAATATCATAGATAAGAAGGTAAGAATATAGTGTGTTGAAGTACGTTTGACGTATGCTAATTCATGCACTTCACGTCAAAGTGAAACGGAAATGTTATTTTGGATTTTATGCTTGTTATAAGACGGTTGCAAATACCGGTGGTAATCCATTTCGAATATGGCGATGTTTGTTGCGAACATAGAACTTCGCACGAACAACTATATAGATCATAAGAACTCCATACAAAATACTTATTGGATTAGTAATTAATACATATCTAGCCGCTAAGTCATTTTCATCCATAGTTACATTCTGAAATAGATGCATGTGATGTACATATGCGCCCGTGTGTGTGTGTGTTCGTGTGTGTGTATGTGATGAGTATGTTTTACCTGATTAGCAACTAACTCTCCAATTGCAATCAAAACTGTAATTCCTTCAAGAGCTATAATGAATGAATGGAATATGATTACGGGAATCATCAGACGATACTGTAATACGATTATTTGCATATATGAAGGTGCATTTGAAACCTTTGTAGCATGGATTGAGTATAAAGCTAACCAATGAACTGTAATTCCAGAGATAACAAATATGAAAAAACCAAATAATGCTGAGAAAATAGAAATAATATATTAATGAATTATAATACAATATACCAATAACATCGAATGATGTATCGTATAAGGCCCATGGAAAGAATGCGAATCCACAGCCAAATATGGCTACAACTACTACTAAACCTATAACATGATAATTCCATTAAAAGGCGTCAAATATTATTGAATTAACCAAATAAATTTGCAAATATTGCCAAATATTTTATGTGTATAACAGTTAGAACAATGTAATCAGCTGCATCTTCCCGAAACTCTAAGTTACCTTGGTCCATTCACACTGAACTCTGAAGATAAGGTAACCTTCTGGAGAGAAAAAAAACAGAAAGTGAGAGAGATACGTAACAAGGAGAAAACAAAAATTATTCGAAAGACCCAGTGAGGTTTACAAGAATGTTTTCACGAGCGTGTTCTCAGCGTTTCTTGCTAGTAAAGCTTGAGAGTGTGAGCCGACATGCTTGTAAAAAAAATTATTTTCTTCAACGATCGTCAATCACAATAGAAAAGCAAAAACTCTTAAGAGAATGAAAAGAGAATTTTTTAATTAGAATGGACTAATTGGAGAGTAACTTTCAAAATTTTCTCGGGGGAGACAGGGAGAGAGGGAGAAGGAAAGATTGAAGGAAATGAAACCTTTTATAACATTCAGTCAGTCTCGTATAGAATATGTGCTGAAACCAAAAGTCATTCGAGGGAGGGACAGTACGAGCAAGACTGAATAGAGAATGTGATCACAGACGCAGATTTGAAGCAAATAATTTTTAAATGAAAAAAAAAAAGTTTAAAAAACAATAAAAGAGGAAACAAAACAAAAAGAGGACGATGTGAGAGGAAAGAAAAAAATTTCTTCAAGTTTATGAAAGATATTGATCGAGGTAGCGGTGGGGGGGGAGAAGAGTAGAGAGAGAAAGAGAGAGAGATTTGAATGAAAAAGGTTTTTGAAGAAAATGAACAAATATCTTAGTTGGACTGCTGACTGACATGATTATTTCATCAGCTCATATGGAAAAGGGAAATTAAAAGTTATTGTTAAATTGAGTAAATTATCAGATGAAAATTGATCAAGAATCAGCTGAATAGCATATGTCAGAATAGTCAAAGCTCATAATTAAATATGTTAACGTTTATTGAACAACAAGATTCTCTGAGAGAGAAAAAAAATAAATGAAAACCATTAAAGCTGTCATAAAACAGAAAAAAAGGAAAAAAGTGATGGATTGTTATGACGTAGACTTGAAGCTTCGTTTCTATGGCAACAACGGCAATTGGAGTGCATTTCACTAGAATTTCATTGATCATCCCCGTCAACAGAGCATCAGTCTTACAGAAGACTCTATATGGAATCATGTTCAGTGGATGTATTGCAACAGCTCATACACTATTGAAACTCACCATTGCAGCTCATTTCCATATTGAGGAGAGTGATGGGCGGTAGTGAGACCGGAAAAGAAAAATTAAAAAAAAAAGAACATAAAAAGCACGGATGATTTAAACTTGAACAGGTATCACAATCAAGTTATGATTGTAAAGTTACAAACTTAATTATCAAATTTCATACTTTTCTTTTTTTTCTCAACTACAATAGTGGTGATGAGAGAGAGAGAGTGTGTGTGTGTGAGAAAAATAGAAAAAGCGAATAAGTAGAAGAAAGGGAAATCCCTTTTGTCACGGAAACTGTTAGGATGTGGATGATACGTTTGTTTGGATATTCTGATGAATTAGCTTGATCGTCGTGATCATGCATGGGTAGAAGAAGCTTTTAGTAGGTCAAATATAGGAAATGTTATAGAAATTTTCATCTGAAAATACTGACCAGATTGACCAGTTAGTCTTCAAAAGTTTTTTGGAGCTTTCTGTCTTTTGTCCTCTTTTCACTCTCTCTCTCTCTCTCTCTCTCTCTCTCTCTCTCTCTCTCTCTCTTCTATTCTTTCTCTCTCTCTAACTCTCTGTATGCAGTTTTCATTTCGAAATTTTCCTTTTTTAGTTTTGTTTTATTCTAAAAAAGGAAATTAGAAGAGGAGAATGAGGTTGTCATACGACAAACTCAAATATCCTCCATGAACAATGATGTAATCCTCCGGTTTGTTCAATGCTTTTCCCATCCCACCATATTCATATTTGTATTACGAGATGACCAGAAGGAGAACCGTATTTGGAACAGAATAGTCTCAAACCTGATCTTATTGAATATTGAATCAACAAGATGAAATACACAAAAAATGAAAATTTTTTTTTATTAAAAAATAAAAAAAAAATGATAATGTGCGAAGATCAATGATGAATCGCCAATATGCCGGAAGTGGAGTGCCGGAGGCGATGAAAAAATAATTGACAAGTTTTTTGATCACATAAGACATGATAACGATAACAAGATACGTTTTTTTTTAATTTAAACATTTTCATCGGAAAAGTTAAAGGTGATTGTTTTTTTGTCTTCCGTTTTATCAGTTTCAACCGGAACCGGATTTTTTTGGTTATAGTTTGTCCGTAACACGTGTTTTCGGCCATTGTCGACTGTCTGTCAAGGCTATCACCAAATTAAGAGAAATGAAATTGACCTTTATGAACGAGAAGATAAAGAGAAGAATGGTTAGAAAAGTGATATTGTACTTGGAAGACAAAAAATCAACTGAAAAGAACTCTGACTATATAAGGCAATAAAAAGTTCAGAAGGATTTATGGTAGCAAATTGAATTTTGGTAGCAAGAAGTCATTCGTCTCGGCTCATTTTTTCTTTTCACATCTCTCATCTCTATTTTTGGATGAAAAAATAGGTTTTTTTGAATATAAAAAACTTGATTGAGTAGGCGTCAGAATAATTTTATATCTTTTCTATCAAAACTTATCCTAATTTTTTAAAATATTTTTGTTCTCTGTAACACTGTTTGGATATTTGAGATCATGATTGAGAGACAAATGGAAATGAAATATTGCATGAGCTGCTAACAATGCTCTACCGTACCAGTTAATTGGTGTGTCTGGTTTTTTAACAAATACTTTATTTTTATTTTTGGATTAAATTTCAATTTGATTTCTATAATATGGGCAGACAGGTCCTTCAGCTTCTGCTTCAACTTGTCCTTTTGTCTATTTTTGGTAGAAGCTTCTTTGTGCTACTCTCTCATCTATAACACAGTCTCATTTACTTTCTCTCTCGATTCTCTTTTGAATTACAAAACATTATGAAAATCTTGTATTTTGTACATTTTTTTTTACTTTAGCTGTCTGTCTACTTCTGACCAACCCTTTTGTATCGTGAACGATCCGCCTCCCAGGTCTTGGAGTATAAAGACAGAACAACGACAATTGTCAGAAGCGTCCATTTCGACATCTCCTCCTCCTCCTCTTTCTTCCGGAAGAAGTAGTTGAAGAAGAAACTTATCTCAATCATGACTATGTCAGCATCAATGTTCTTACTTCTTGCCTTACCAGCTATCATCGCTGCCGATTCAAGCAGGTAATATTTCTTTTCATTCTCTTAACTTTCTCTTAGTGGAAAATCATTCAAAAACATAATCTTTTAATCATTTTTCGCCATAAATTTGCAAATTTGAAAATCAATTTGTTTTTTCTCCATTTGAACAACGACGGCGAATGCTTCCGTTTTGATACAAAAAAAAAGTTTTTTAAAGTTTTCCGGTCGTCTATGTTTCATTCTCCTCAACTAGACATCATTCTGTCAACCAGGTTGAATGCGAGTGATAGTTAAACGTAATTTATAACCGAAAAGATGATCATTTTTAGTTTTTTTTTCATATTCAACCTTAACAAGAAATGATTAAAGAAAACGAAATTGTTTTAATTATATTCATCAATCAAAGCTTTCAGATGTTGGAGCAGTGGCAATGGCCAACCAGCTAAATGGTGGAATAACGGTGAACAAGTAGAACGAGGTAATTACTTTTTCTTTTTTCAATAGGCAAAACAAGAAAATATTCTTGTATATCAATGGAAATATTATAAAAAAACGGAAACATTTAATGTAACAAATTGGATTACAAATGTTTTTTCTTTTCACTTTCTCTTTTTTTCTCAGCCTGACCACCCAAAACGAATTAAAAAACAACCGTTCTATATGAATGTCACTTATAACTAATTGATCTCTGTTCACGTGCATTATGCAGTCGTTCACGTGATCAAATGTTACACCACGTGGCTTGCGTGTATTCATGTGAATGATTTACATTTAAGCGCAAGCATGCGCTTTCCCGCTTTGACACTTGTCAACTCTAATTGAAACTGTCATAAACGGCCAATAAACGTCAACTTTCAAAAAACAAAAAAAAATTAAAAAATAATCTTTTTGTTTGCAAAAAAACAAAAAAAATAAAGAAGAAGAAGAAAGTGTAATTTGATGAAGCCTCTTGATGTTATTATGATCAAGCAATTTAGGAAAATATTGGTACGTGTGTTCCAATGGTGAATTACAACCACAGGGCTGTTTCTCATCAACCGGAGAACGGCTGCGTATCGGTGAAGAATTCCAGATGAAGGGATTTGTGAACAAATGCGTATTAGGTAATGATATTGGTTCCATTGATATCTGATTCGTTTGCTTTCAGACAATGAAGGATATTTGACTTTCGAATTCACAGCCTGTATTGCTCAGAATGGACAAGTCGTTCAACCCGAGCAAACATGGAGAGATCCAAAAGTAACCTGAATATTCAAGGAGCCAACTGAATTTCAAAATCAATGTTTCAGAATATTTATGAATACAAATGCTCTCGTGTCGGAGAATTTTTGAAAATAACTGTTGAAGGATGTTTAACTCATGACAAGTCTCGTGTGTTGAAGATTGGAGAGAAGTATGACATGCAGGATTACACGTAAGAACAGAATTAGCATAATTTATAATTAATGTCTCATTTTCTTATAGATATGCTTGCCAAGAGAAATCAAACGGTGTCGTCCAATTGTGCAGTGTTGGATGTGTTCATGAAGGTCAACATTACGGAGTCGGACAACAATGGCAGGTTCGTAGCAAGAAACATAAGAATATTTCAATGCAACAACTATATCATATACTCCATATGGTTATTGCAGAATGGCGAATACATTTATTACTGTAAATTAAATGGAGGAAGATGTCAAAAGAATGTTATTGGATGTGTTTATGAGAATAAGAATTTATATGATGGAGATCGTTATCGTAAAGGAGAAACTGTCTACCAATGTCAAGTAATTAGCATACTCTGATAGTTATACAATATAATTAACAATTGATAGATTCGTCAAGATACTTTTGGACATAAACCAGTTGGATGTATTTCCCACGAAGTTGATGGATCATCTGTTGAACGTGTCATTGGATGCAGATGGTTAATTATCTTTATTTATTATCATTTTCTTTCTTCTCCCTCCAGGTACTTGACGACAACACAATCTAAGATTGAACAAACTTGTGAATTGGAAGACTCAAACACAAATGTAAAAACAGTCGCCTGCATCTACAGACATAACGGATTTGATACTGTTTATCTTCATCCAGGAACTTATACCATCTTTAATCTCCCTAAAGATAACCAATCGATTGGATTATCTTGCAAGGTATTTTTGTTTTTTCCCACTTCTCGCTCATCCACATCATTTCAGATGAGTGGAACTTCTGCTGAACTTGGTGTCTTCCAACTCAACGAGCTTCCATCTCGAACTGCCGGCTTAACTTACGACCAACCTCGCGGAAAGTAAAGTCGAATACTTAGGAGCTTCAATCATTCGATACTCGGAATCAAAGTTTCATATGTTTTCCTTGATTTTATATCATCTCATCTCAATCTCTCAAACGACCTCATCTTAGTCCATCCAGAGAAGCAGCACATTCACTTCGATTCTAAAAAAAAATTAATTATTAGATTATAATTCTATATTTACGTGTAAAAATGATATATGGAAAGAGATTTGTTATATAATAAAAGATTTATAGATAAACATATTATTCATTGAAACACATTTGAGTTGAAGATGGAAATCCTCTACGGATATCCTTCATCTCTCCATTTGCGTTTAGCTGTCTCGGTCTCCATCATCTAGAAGCATTCCCAGTGAAACTTCAAAGACAAACAGTTTTGAGGAGAACATACGATTATCTTTAAAGAATCTCCTTTTAAGGTTTCACCCATAAAAACTCCGATTGTTACCATTATTATATATAATTTAGCATTTGGCCACCTGTCTTCAGATGATTCTAATGATCTGACCAGAAGAGAAAAAAAGATTTTTCATTGTCTACTTTCCCGCCAACATCTGGAGATGTTTATGAAGGTTTTTTGGCTAAAACATTCATACACACATATCATCTGCATATTTGGCTTTCCTTTTTTCATATTTTGACATTTGGCTATTGAAATAGTTGTAACAAAATCACTCGAGATAGTAAATAGCTGTTGCTCCTTTTGCCTCTAATAAAACTAATTTAATGGGACATTCGATTGAATTTCCTTCATTCCTTCAAATGCTCTGCCAGTTTTGTTAGAAAATTTCTTTATTTCTCTCTTTTTCCTTTTTTCCTTATTAGCACCCTCCCATGGCTGCTTGTAACCTTCCACCCCCCCCCTCAATCGCCCTCACACACCATCATCCTCCAGTTGCACATAGATGTATGTATGGATGAATGAAGAATCTTCGAACAAGATGCTGTTTGTTCCTCAATTATCCATTTTCATTGCACAAAAATCATCTTTGTACTCTAAATATTTACGGATTTATTATAATATTCTTCAAAACATTGTATCATTCCAGTCCATTAGAGTAAGAAGCATGAGCATGGAAGGAGAATTGAAATTCTCATCTTCTTTCGACTGCTTCTTCATCGTCTTTCATTCTTTTCCTAAATAGCACTCTCACTCAGTTGGTCATCAATTTCCTCCTGACGTCTTCTGTTTCTTTCCGATTCTTCATTCATATGAGCGAATTTTTTTTCTTCGGAAATTTCATTTTTAGGTCATCTTTGTGTGAGCTTTTTTTCTTGGTAGACACCCAAAACTACATTATGACAACGAAAGCTTTATGAACTCGTGAGGCTTCTGCTCAAAACTATTTTTTGTGAATTATTCAGCTTCAAAATTGAAAAGAAAACAATCAATGGAAGCTCTTTTTAATTTTTCTATCACTAACCGACCAGTTCACGTGAATCGTTCAAGTGACGCAGAGCTCTTGAGCTTTCATTTTTGAGCTTTTGAATTGTATCGGATCGGTTGCATGCATTCAAAATTTAATTCATCAAATCATTTATTTTCGTAAAAATGCTTAAAAATAGGAATGAAAAAATTATTTTTTTAAATAATTTGCAACTTGGGAATCAAGAGAGAGATAGAGAGAGAAAGTGAGAGAGAGAGATAGAAAGAGAGAAAAGAGTGAGTGTGAGAGTTGGTGTTGTCCCATTAGGAAGTTGAATAGTAAATGAAGTGTCTGATGGTGCTTACTCTCATTATTGAAAACATCTATTAATCGATCATGCTCATGCCTTTTCAGATAATTAAATTTATTTTTTTTCATCCATTGAATAGATTTGAAAAGTTTTTTTATTTTAATGAAAAAAGTGACGTATTTGGTTAAAACGACCAATTTATCCTTTTTTTATTAATTGAAAATGTGCCAATTGCATTTCATTGTTCATATTTCTCCTGACTAACTTCATAGCTTAAGGTTATGTGAGAAGTGTCAGTGCTTCTTCCTTCATCTCCGATTTCCCGCTCTATTTAACCTTATAATGTATAGTTTGAATGGTTTTTACGTAATAAAATCCATTTTCATTATCACATTCACACGAATTATTCTTTGGCCAAAATCTATTTTGTTATTTGAAGCTTTTCTTCGTGATTTCAATCTGATTTCTCTAACCAACGCTAAGTTCATGAAGCTAGTGGTGGTGGTGGTGGTGGCGAGCTTTGAGAAGCTGTCTCTTCAACAAAGAAAAGAAAGAAAAAATGGAAAAACTCTAATGAAATGTTTCTTCTGTTACATCTCTTTCCTCTCGTTTGGCATGTTTATTCGCATTTTAATAATCTCATCATTGATTTCCTTTGGCCAATTTAGCCGAAGATTCTAATCTTCAAATAGCCATCGACATAAATCTTTCCGTTTACTAAATATGGCGATTAACTATATACATGGTTTATGATAAATAGCTATCATATCCTTCATTATTTTTGGAGAATGCTCCATTTCATTGCTAATATGTTGGAATATTGAAAAGGACAAGTCATTCCTTCTCTGGTTCATCTCAAGCTTACACAATGCTGGCGGCAGTTTTCTATCGATCTTCAGAACTCTCTTTTTCCTTCTCTTTCTATCGGTCTTTTTTTCTGTCAGTTTCCTCTCCCTCTCTCTCTCTCTCCCTTTCAATCTTTCTCTCTCTTCATCTTCCAGCCTTTCATAGTATTTGGAAAAATGCCCTTGCAAATCTTTAATTTAAGATTCTTTCCGTTTTCTTTTCGACTAACTCGCCACTCATTAGCCATATATGTAGATATTTTTGTATTTCTTTGGGATTTTCGATGATTCAAACAATCTCTAAGCCATACAAGAGAGCAATTGACTTCTTTCTAGCAAATAATCCATTTATAAATAGAATTCTTGTATAGAAAGTTTGAGAATGCTGTAGTCATAGCAACAATCTTTCAGAAAACTTTTTTTGGCCTTCCGTGTATTATTTCCTTTGACCTTTTTTGGCTCATGAGACATTTTTATTCAGTTTGTTACTCTTATGCTATTATAGAATGAAACTGTTAGTTCCAATTATTCTCATAAGTATTCTGGGAATAATTGTTGTCGATTGCTCCCGTCGTCAGAAAAGATCCACATCAGCTTTAATCAACCCTTCAGCAACCGAAAATGTCATTAAGAAGGTTTTTTCTATTCTCCTAGAAGCTTTTCGTTTATTAAAAATTTTATTGTTTAGATACAAATTGAAAGAAAAGAACGACGACTACTTCGAAAAAAGAAACAGCGCCTCAAGCAGCTTCGAGCTGAAATTCGGATGTTGACACAGCAATTCCGTAGTGGGGCTTCAGTTGCAGGTATGACTTTGAAAAAGTTGAAACAAAGTTCAAACCGCTTAAATTTGGATGTGAAATAGAATGAAATAATAGAGAAAGTGAGAGATAGTGTTAGAGGAAGAAAGCTCGTGGAGAGAATCATAGAATAAGTAAGAAAGGGAAAGAGGGTGGAAGAAAGAAGTACTTGTAGAATGCAAGCGTCCGGTGCGTCAATAAAAAACAAATGAAGAATGAAAGTTGACGTGGTTCTGCTACGTGAGCTTGTAGTATTAGAATAAGAAATGAGATATGCTGATTATAGATTTGCAATCCCAACTAAGAATGAAGAATGAAATCAAAGAAATCAAACGAAGTAAAGAAGATAGATGGAAACGTAAGCTGTTGGAAAAGATCAAAAATATTCTGCGACGTCTTGATCGAATCGAAAATAAAACAAGAGCCAAGGTATTTGTTGTAAAAATACATTTAAAGATATTTTTGTATTAGAAAGGAGATGTTTTGAGTGTTGTAACCACTCAAGCTTCACCTGTTGAGAGTACAACCACGATATTGAAGACAAGTATTCATCCGCCAACCGATGTGCAATCAAAGGTAGTGGATAATTATAACAAAATATTTTGAATTTGAAATTGATAGATGAAAAGAATCAAGTCATCTATTGATCAATCTCAGAAAGGTGGTAATGGAACATTATGCTTGACTCACAAAGATTGTCGACCAGGTCTGTCTTAATGGCTATAAACGTTCATTGAACTGTCTCCATTTAAGGTCATTGCTGTCAGAAGCTGAATGTTGATGGGATAATCAAATCAACTTGTTCATTCTTTTCTTATTCCGAAGGAAGATCTTGTATAGACTCTTGCCAGTGTTCTCATCAACTGCATTGTTTTCAGCCATCCAATAATAGTTCGGTGAGCTAGATATAATTCTGAAATAACAATAATATTTTATTAAATTAAAGAAGCCTCTCTGTAAGCATGCCGAATCAGTTGATATACTTAATGGAAATTATTTGTACAATAAGGACGCTGTGTTTTCGGAAAGTCGTGCAAAACGACGAATACATTGAAAATTGATGGGCATCGTTCTTCAGTTACGTCTTCTCAAAACTTTTCAGTAATCCGGTACCTGCGGTTCAACTTCTTCGTTTGCTACGGCTTATTTATTATTATTTAATTTGTTTTTTTTGTGATTTGCATTTATTTGTGTTGAGGATGACGAGGAGTATGATCTTCGCATCCTTTTTGGGCTTTACCGCTCCCGTGTTGAGCTGTCCGATCTCATGATGTACATAGTTGATGGAATAATTAAGTAATTATCCATTCAGATCATTATTTTGTTTTTATTTTAATTCAATAAAATTTTTTCTTCCCGTTCATAGATGTACTTGCGTTGTTGCCACAGAACGTTCGGCAAGTTACACACAGGAAAAAGCTTTTGCTGCTTTGATCGACCTAAGTTCAAATGTTATTTTTATCTTAAAATCAGATGATTTGATACGTTGTGTTATCTCTGTTTCTCTTCATCCTTCTATCAAACTCCTCATGATCTATCATACTAAACTCCGCCAACGCAAAGTTCACTACGAGAGGCGGAGATAAAGCTAAGGAGAAGGGAGCAGGTCATTAGGAATTGAATGGGCGGAGATTTGAGGAGTTGAATATAAATGATAAAACAACCTCTTCAATTGAATCCTATTTACTTGGAATTTGAAAACTTCAACAAGTGGTTCAATTCTCATACTTTATATTCTCCAGCAAGAAGTTCTAACGTCTTTCATACAGCACAATGGTGGTGAGTTGAGCTGCCACACTGCTTATAAAATATTTTTTTCAGGCAACTAAAGCTAAAACTCTTGATCAGCTCAAGGAAGAAAATCCTGATGTAAATGGTTTCTTGATCGAGAAATGGGAAAGAATTTTTAATGTTTTCTTTGGTAAGTGCGATACAGAAATGACAAACTGTAAACGGTTTTCCTTCCAGATCGCAACCATTCTCGTAATGTCGATTGGGGAGATTTCTATCTTGTTGTCAGAGTAAGCTTCTTCTGTAGCTATTATAAGTAAAATATATTTTTGTTATTTCTAGAAAGTTCGAGATATTTATGGAGCTGAATCTGTTCAAACACAATTCGCCAGAAACTCCTTGGCAGCTCTGTGGGAAGGACTGTGCAAACTAGCTGATGCAGATGATGTATGTTGAAAATGTAGTTTATAAACTTCAAAATAACTTTATATAGGATCAACTCATTTCTATCGATGAATGGATTCATCTGTTGAAGAAAGTCAATCCAAAGGATGAACCTAAGTGGTTTAAGGATTACAGTAATTTCATGTTCAAACTCTTCGATGTTTCCTGTAATAACATATACTCGTCTTGTTTATCTTCTAATATTTCTTTTTCAGGCGATGGGGTCATGGATTTGGCTGAATATACAGATGGAATGAACGTGTACGGCTTCACATCTCGTGAATGTGACACAGCTTTTAGAAAATTTGCTTTGGTAAGTGACAATTAGTGAGAAGCATTAGCGAAAACAATAATCCTTCGAGAAGTTATGAGTATGAAGAGATGATTTGATGAAAAATAAAAAATATTTTACACAAAATTGTTTTCAGGATGGATTTGGAGATTACAAAGGAACAATCTCACCTGAGACATGGACCAAGTATTTCCAAGACCTCTTCTATTCAACTGATCGCAAGAGCATCGGAAACAACTTATTCGGATGTTTGGAATGATTTCATGATGATGACATTGAGGCTTAAATGATATTCCATCCGTATATTTCCAATACTCAAATTGTAAAAAAAATCTGATTATGTAAAATAGTTTGTCAATATTTAATCGGAAGAATAAAGCTCTCCCATATAGTTTGTTAGATTGAGCACGTAAACTATAAGAAGCAGGTGTCATCCAATCTTCTTCTTAGTTCCTTCCACCAGCCACCCACATCAACATCAACGATCATCCCCTCTAGCTCTTTGGATAATTCAATTTTATACAACATGTGTGGATGAAACAAATATTTTCAAGAGAAAAAAATTATGGAAAAGAAGATTATGTGTAAGTGATGAGAAGTCATACGATCTTCTCTTTCCGTCATAGTTGAGATGTCGACCTTATGATACACCCCCTCGAGGCTCCAGATAGAATAGGAGAGGTCAATGAATTTGAGAGTAAAATTGTTGTCCAAAACCATTTGCTTTCCTGAAGTCTCTCTCTTGAAACTTAAGTATTCTCTTAACTCTTCCTCTTCTCAGAACAATCAGAGATATTATTGGCGTTTCCTTATAAGTCCTTCCATAATTTAAAAATAAACGTCATCCAAACATACACATCTCATAACTACCGCAACTTGAGTATAGTATGAGAGAAGAAAAAAATTGATTTTACGAGTCAAATGATTGGTCGAGTTAATGATTAAGTCACATGGTTAACACATTTCATCCCCCCACCATCTTAACTAATCCGCAGATGTTCAAACTCTAACAATAAAACTTTTTTCAAAAATATCTTTTATTACACATTTTCAACAGAATTATATTCAAAATAAAAAAAAAAACAACGATCACTCAGATATGTTATTCAACATTTTGCTTCTTACGTACTACATCTTATTACTGTAAACCAAATGCTAATACTGCATGAACGGCTCCTAATGCTATTGCATCTGCCTGCAACAAAAAAAAATTGTTTTAAGCTTCTCCATTGCTCGTCACTTACAGCTGCTAATGCCCACTGTTCACTCCATTTTTGGGTTACGTAATCGAATGAATAATGAATTACAATCACAGCACTGACACCAGATAGAAGTGAGCAGAAGACGGCACACGGCATTTCCTGAATATCGATCGTAAATTAAAAACAAATATTTTCATTTTTCGATTTGATCTCCTGTTGAACGGTTGTGCTTGATACTTATGTTGCTTTCTATATCTTTGACAGTACCCATTTTTGCATCTTCTCTCTTTCTCTATTCTCCCTAATAATCCTTTTACAGATGTTGGCATATGAATTTCAATGAAGGTACTGAAAGTATAACTTACAAGACAATTATATGCTATAGCACAAGGTGTATTTGTATAAAACAGATTAGTTATTAACCAAGCTGTTGAAAGCAATCCAATCAGAGGAGCAACAAAGATTGGGAAGTACTGAAATTGGAAATGGACGAATATAAAATAAAAAAAAACAAAGCATACCAAAGCATACATTCGATTTTTTTCCGGATAGACAAATGAGTTTTCACATCGATCATACTGGCAGTAAACGGCAGATCCGTAAAACAAAATGAGACAGAGAATCTCAAAGAAACTCTATAGATTAATATAGATTTTGATATAAACATACTATTGATGAAATATATAAAACTATAGGAAGTCGCGAGCGGGGCTTTTGAGGAAATGGCTTTGGAAATAGAAGAGCCATAATGACAATTTCTGGAAGATTTTAAATGACAAAATGAATTGAACAAAAAATTTTGAGCTTAAAGTTCAATGAAAAGCTTAAGAAAGCAGCTTCTGACAAGCTATGGAAGTAGTTTAGTATGAAGTCAGTCCAATAATAGCTTATAATTCTTTTTTTCTTTCGTATTCGACATGAAAATGAGCAAAAATGATGTTCTTCAATGAAGCTTTTTGATCCGAAAAATTGGAAAATGAGCCAAATTATGAAAAGAACTGGATGAATGAGAAAAGCTTCTGCTACAGAGCAATACATGGTCATGGACTGCTGATCTCTAGACTGAGCTGCTGGAAGGGTGATGATGGTCTTATAAAGGAGGCTTTAACTATATACATATAGTTAATTAGTGTTGTGTTTGTTTATTAAAAACAAAAATGTCGCAAAGCCTTTATGTTTAAGCTCAAATAAGAACATAAGGATAACATATAATTAGATAATCTATCCTTCACAATCTGTTATTTGAGTTGTTTGCGAAATGGGCTGAAAGATTTATTTCGTGCGTTTATTTTATTTAAAAATGTTAAAAAGAGAACGATTGAGATATATTTTGCAATTGGAAACCTTATTAGGCAGTGAGCGAGAAGATTAAATGGCCCAATGATTATGGGTTTAGTCAATTAAGATTTGGGAAAATAGAAAGCCAATTGATTCAGTTTTATCAGCTTTTTTTCAACTGAAAAAAGGTTGTTTCTGTGAATTTATAATTTGTATACCATTCTTAAGAAAGAAATCTAAAAAGAGAGAGAGAGAGAGAGAGAAAGAGAAAGATAGATAGAAAGAGAGAGAGAGAGATTGGAAGAGAATGAGGAATGAATGGCACGGAGAGTCTAAGATGTTTTAGACAGACGACAGATTACCAGCTAAGGATTAGAGGACAAATAACATTCAGACACCTAAAGATAATTGGTTTCTTCATTAAAACAAATGCACTCTTCTGAATACTGTTTCATATTTTTAATAATATAAAGAGAAAACAAAAAGCTCTCATGGGAGATGAACGATGAACAGTTTGGTCATACCGCATTTACAGGCAGAAGCATCTTTTGATGAGACAAATAAGAATATTTTTCTTTTTTTTTCTTAAACAAAAAGATTAGATTAAGATTATATGAAAGAAATCTTTTGGTCTATGTGTGTCTGAAGCCTCGAGAACAATGTGAGCTGCATGTATGGCTGTGGTGTGCGTGTGTGTGCAAGTAGCCGGTGCTCGTTCGTTGCTAAGCGATTTCCAACTTGTCTTCTGATAAAATATTTTTTCTCTGTTTTCTACTATTCAATTACAAATGATAATGGCATTGCAACAAATCATTTCATAATTAGTTCTTGAAAAGTTTTGAAGAAGAAATTTTTCATTTCATAGATAACAGAAGCCGACAGCGAGAATTTCGAATCCGAAAAAACGAATAAGGTTGACAAGCAAAAACCGTTTTCTAATCTTCCATAATCTTTCATTATCGGGTCGTTTCATCTTCATCTTCTTCACCTTCTTCCACCTTCAATCAAAGATGTTTTTTCTTTCATTTTTTCGTTTCTCTTCAAACCAATGTTTCGCACATCTTTGTCTCTTCAGTTGTTGTGACTAATCCGATAGCGTTTCATTGCACAAAAAAACGTTTATGTCAACTTGTGTTTCATTCACGTTCAGTACTTGAAGATAATAAAGATTTTTTGCAGATAAGCTTCATCATATGGGTCAAGATGATTGTTTCATAACACAACCGCTCTGTGCGCATTCATTGATTACAAAATGAAAAATGCAAATCTCACGTGGATTCAACGTTGCGTGACTACGTGTAGTTAGAATGCTATGCTCTGTTTAATAAACGTATTTTCACACTTATTCGAACTTTAATTACTAATTTGGAGTCATTACTGACAGACAGTTTTTTCCAGTTGTGTGTCCTTGAATCAACAGTAAGCAGGAAATGTACTAGAAAGTTTAGATTTCACAAAGTATACAATGTATGATGGTGTTAGCCTCAGTAACTTCTTATGATTGATTATCGAAATCACTCATAAATGAAAAAGTTATTCCGTAGGTTTTGGCCTAATTAGGCAGAGGAACGTCATTTGTCTCTGACAGCCGTAGAAGTTTCATCTGTTGTGGACACTGAACAGATGACCGTATGGTTTCCAAACGATTCCTTCCTCAATTCGTTTGATTGAATACATTGATGAAAGTTATAAAATCAAGTTTTTCATAATTGGAATATGCTAATATTAGCATAATTTTTCTTTTTTACCATCTTATGAGTACTTGAATTCTTTGTTCTCAGAAGAACATCTCATAAATCTCCGTTTTCAATATCGCCGCTTGATGGACACAGTTCCGATTAGAGTTAAAACGCTCACGAGAACATCATTATTTATTTTTTCAAAAATGAAAATTAACATGCAGCAGGTTCTTCTAAAATTAAGTTTATGAAATAAAAAGTTTTTTATTTGTTTTTTCATTGAACAAATGGAATGAGATGAAGATCGGATGCTAAGATGATGATGTTTGCTTTCCGTTAATTACATCCGACAAGCATAACATTTGAATATTTTTTTCCTGTCAATTTAATTTTTGTATCTTATCCTCATCACCATCATCATTACCCAAATTATGAGAATTTATAATTTTCATTCAAATATATCAAGTTTCTGGGGTAATTTGTTGCTTCCTCTCTCCTTCTTTTTCATTCTTTCAATTTCCTTCTCGTTTAATCTCGCCATCAAGTTTTCATAAGGAAATTAGCTATTGTAGACAAATGTTTGTAGAGGAATTAAGTTAAAAAGTTTTGAAAAGAAAGTCAAAACGTTTCTTTCAATTATGACCTCATTTGCATATTTTACTTTGACAGATCAACCCAGTGATTGACCATAAAAGTGAAAAGTAAATTAACCTATTTATACGTTGAGATATTAAAAAAAATGTATAATTTTACCAAAAATTGATGAAGGGTAGGGCAGTCAGATGTATGTTTCAATAATCTTTTAATAGATATCTTTATTTGGTATGCGGGTAATACAAGTATTGGGTAAGTAGCTGAATGGGGAGGTAAGGTCATGATGAGCGATGATTCAGTGAACTCTGATTGAAAATTCAGTATTCTCATACATTTATCCATATAAAGCATTGTTGATCTCCATTATAGTTAAATGATATTCATAGAATGTAGTTCTTGAGAATATATCCATCACAATAGATGTTGCCATTGACAGGTAGTTGGATACTAAACTCTCCTCATACAACTTCCATTCTCATTATCCGCGAAAATATTTAGGTTGAAGATGAAGGGGTAGACGTTTTTTGAGTTTAAAAAAACAGAGCTTATCGCTTAATTGACTGACACTTTGCTTAGATTGGAACTTATGATACTAGGCGGTGAAAGAGAGGAACCGTTGTCGGTTACTCATCCTTCAATGTTCTTGTCTTTCATTTTCATTCATTTTGATCTTCTATTTACATCTTTTCGGATAATAAAAATGGATTTCGAAAAGCTTATAAGATGATATTTTATTGCCATACATGGATGCTTTTGAATTGACTAGAAATGAATGAGGTTGTGTTTGACCTCGTTCTCAATTGATAATTCGCTGTTTCCGTGTGCTCATCTGGCCGTTCCGATTCTCTGATTTCAAATAGTTTTAGGGATAAACTAGATGAGATATATAGAGATGGTTATAGAATATTATGAAGAGAATCAGAGATTTGAAGGATCAACTGTGTATAGGAAATGAATACATAATATTCATATTGAATATCTTTCATTCTCTCATTCCCTTTTACTGTCTGCCTTTGACCGCCAATTATCTCATCCCGAATGCCATCATCATTCTAATTCTATGAACCAAAACCATTTGATGAGCTGATGATGATGGACCTCAGGATAAAATACAGTTTGAGTATAGCATTCATTTCTGTTTACCTCATTTGCATACTTTTTTACATTCACGTTTTCCACGCATTACTGCCGCAGGTATTGAGTGAAATCATTTCCAACTCCAAAACTGCAAAGAACGGTTGCTTTCTTATGTTGTCACTGTCTCTGCAGACTAAAGAAAAGAATTTCCAGCTTAACTATCATGTTAAATTTATATAATTTAGGAGAAACTGTCATATAAAGAACGGAAATGACAGGTTATTCATAAGTGGCTTTTCTTCTTCAACTGACTGATTCATCAGAATTCATCTTCATTTCATAGAGAGAAAGAGAGAAGAGGAGACAAATAGCAGAAAGAAAGAAAAGTAAAAAGTTTAAAAGAATTCCGTCAAAGCTCGAAACTATTTTGGAATATTCTTGCTCATCGCTTTCCATAGACAAAGCAGTTTGTCAACTTGGTCTGTTTCGTCATCGAACTTACTTCAGAAGTGTTCGTTCCAATTTGTATTTTTAATGATGATTTAATCTCAAAACATTAGAATTTTCATTATAAAATACGAAATTTTATATTCATGAACTAGGATATCCGGAACATTCTCTAGATTCTCGCAAATTTATATTTTAACAAGCAGTTTGACTTGCCTATCGAGTCAGACATCTGTCAATTAGTAAACTTCTTCCGGATCATCTGGGTGTTAACTGCTCCTAAACAACTACTTTGAATATTTTAAGAGAAAACTCTTTTTCTCTTGTTCTTAAAAATGCTATTCGTCTGGTACCACCACTATGACAGTTATTCATCCATAGAAGGAGATATTAGGTGCCAGGCTACTAGCATTTCTCATGACTCAGTCTTTTAATAAAGACATTCTTTTCTCAAAAATCAGAACGTGAAAGACTCAAAATTTCTGAGTAGGAATTCCATTCACTCTGAAAGCCTCAAATACACATCATCAAACTGTGTCTCTCTCTTGATTACTAATCAGTCTCTCAGTAAACCCCACACCATTCCTTATTGTACGTAAGGTGAGTTCTCTTTCTTCTCTTTACTCCCTAATGTTTTCATATTTCTCTCTACCTCACACGTCTTACAAATAGTAATTTTTCCACTTTTACTGTTTACACAATCATTTTTTTCCATTTATGGACTTTTCTTTAGAGAAATACACAAAAATGGTCAAGCCAGTTAGGATAGGTGATGACTTCTCTCCGACGCCCACCCACATATGAGGCTCATTCTCATAAACTGTCTAATAAATTCTAGAAAGCTGTTCCATCAAGCATATTATACATATCCAGAATGAATTTCTTTTCTCGTCTTCTCAAATGATCTCATACAGTAAGAAGATCTTCTCTTGAGTTCTCCCAACCCCAAGGCTATGGACTATCCAGACCCGCCCACTTCAATCTAACTTCAATACTCAACATATGTGAAGTAAGGGGGCACTGCCTTGTCCTGCAAATGAGATTTTCCAAACAATCTGTTCACAGAGCTCATGTTGTTTTTCTACATTTCTGTCTGTTGTGTCTTATACGTGTATGCAAAACGGAAATTGATATGAACTTTTCCTCTCAGATGCATAAGTCATCCTCTTCTTTAGAAGATGGAAGAAAATTTCCAATTGCTAAACTATTTTTTATATTCTCGTTATTCATCTTCTCAGTAAATCATCGTTTACTATTATGGAATATCTATTGTTTCTATATCTTTAGCCAGAATACATAACAATCAACGTTATCCACTAACTGAGACCATAAAAGGTCAGACAAACATACTTTTGACAGTACTTTTTCAAAACTTCACTCGATTATTGTTTTATATTCTTTCGTCTTGGACGTTTTCACCTTTTGATACTTAATATTCGCAGATTTTCTTGATCTTCTCGAGCCGACATAGACATCACTTTACGCCTTCATTTGCATTTCATAAAACATGACAAATAGATGAAAGTGAAGTACTTGAAAAGCTTGTACATTTCAATTTTCTAACCTCAATCTTAAAATTCTCATCTGAAGTATATTCATGAAACAGTCTTCATACCTCGTTAATGACGAAAATACAGTTTTTTGAGTCTGCCTCTCTTCTTTATCATCACTCTCTCACTCTATCTTAGTCTGCTTGCCATACTAACGAAACAGCTAAAGTTGGAATTCAAACTAACTGTACGTTTTGCAAATATTATGAGATAATAGCTAAGTTATTTATTCTAAATACTTGAAACCTCTTGTCATCCATAAATGGCATAAGGCTATGTAAGTATAATAGAACTTGAGATTTCTCCTCAAGAAGGCATGTGTCCGTGTCAATTGAAGAGCCGACCAAACCTGCCATGCAAACAATCAGAATACCCCTGACCATTCTGACCTTTTAATTCTGAAATTCCAGCAGCTTTTTGTTTTTCATTACCAGAAATGTTCTTTCTATGATCTTTATATGTACTGATACAATTTTTTGTAAGAAAATGTAAGATAGCCTTGATGAGATCGGTCTGCAAATCCATAAGCCGAAGGTATTAAGATCATTCTAATGATGCGATGAGAAATTTTTTGATCTTTTTCATTTCTTATCATCATCATACTAATAAAGAATTGGAAATGTAATTTTTAAAAAGAATTTTTGTTTGTTTAAGAGAGACAATCGAAGTAATGAAGGTCACTAATCTGAAAGGTAACAAACCTCTTATTAAGACAATGGAACTTCATTTAAGGATGTTACAACTAGAAAATACTTGAAAATTAAGAAAACTTTAATAACCTTGGATATATTTTTATGAATTTGCATATTTACTTCTAATAATTTATGTTTACGAGAATCATAAATTTGATTCAATGAGCTAATTGGACTGAACTTTTACTTATCTCTCATGCTCTCATTTCTTCTTCAAGGACACTGATTATCACAATTATCTTCTTCAAATCAAATCTTTTATGCTAATTTTCATCTAATTCTTTGTTCATTTCAGGAGAAAGAATGATTTTTCTCTTCCTGTTTCTATTCTGTTTCTCAGTGACCATCGGACGACCTGTAGATCAGTTACCGCATTGCTCCAGAAGTAGTGTAATGGAAGGAGGAGTATAAACACATTCATTTATTCGAATATCAAAAGTATGATTTAAGATCCGCGAACTTGATGGTAAAGATGGAAGAACGAATATCTTCAGTGCTGTCCATTTCTCTATGGCTTTAAATGAGACAGCCTGTGTTACTTTGAAGGTATGATTGTTTTCGTGGATTCACAATAATGGTCATTTCAGGTGAACAACGAGTCTTCTGTCCTTCACATTTTAGAGTATGTGCGGCTCGAGCAACACCATCCCATATCAGGTATGTCATAGTTTTCCCTATAATTATATGTTTTGAATATAATTTTTTCTAGGCAAGTATACTTTTGGCATACCGCGTATCACTCCCTCCTGTATTTGTGATTGCGCTGGTGGAGAATCGCTTTGCCGCATGGAACAATATAACTACAAGTATATCAATGAAGCAGGGTCGTTCCCACCTCAAAAAATTATAGAAACTGCTCTAGTAGTCCATTATGCTATGCGACTTATCATCCAGTTCAATCAAACATTGGATGTATAGGAGAACAGAAGAGTGAAGCATGCTGCAAGTTAAAGATTGAACCGTATAAGGATTGGACATTTACTGCTATTAGAATAAGCCAACCCGATACTATTCTGGTATTCAGGTAGTATTTTTACAAACTATCCAATGCTAATCATCATTTTAAGTTATCGCATCTACGATAGAAACAACAATAACAACCAATGGAGACAATACTCAGAAGAAACCATTGAAGTCGTCATGAACAAGGGAAGTTCGAAGTTACACTTCAACACTCAACACAAAATTGAATTGACTGTTGCTGGAAGTCGTCCAAACAGAGAAGTTACTCCAGGAATGTATTTTGTCAGAGACGGTTCGTTCCTCTAATTAATTGGAAAAATCGTAAAAATTTCAGGAACCAATGAGGTGCGATCTGGAGTACCAATCAATGATATACAAACATCCGATTTGGGAAAACTTGGATGGTTGAAATATAAAGACGGCAAATGGAGTGTATCCAACGGTCCAGCTAAAATCAAAGAAAAATACGTCAGTGAAAACATAGACCATTGATTTGAAATCAAATCTATTTCAGCACATGGATGTTCATGATTGTAAAGCTCAGATATACAGCTCCACGTTCAATGGAGAGCAAGTTGTGATATCTTCATCAGATGAAGATCAACTAAACTTTCATTTGGGTATGGCTCATAACTCATCCTTTCAATAAAACAGATCAAACAATATAAAAATATAAAATCACCTATCCAGTTTTCGAAAATTGCATAAGAGCTCATTCTCATATTGCCAGACACACCTGAAAACAAAACAGTTCTTCTATTGATCAAAACTTTTCAGGACAACCTTTATCTGATGATCCTTGGATTCGTACAGCTGCTGTTCAAGACCGTGTTGTTCGTGTTGAGCATGCCGAAGGAGTCACCATTATGGTAGTCATTGTATTCAAAGAGTATTCATTTTCAAACACTTTAGATTCACATGATCACAGAGACACGACCTAATATCTTGAAGCATACGTCTCAATTAGGTGATTTCAATGGGGCGATGCATTTAGGTGATAACAGTGTACGGTCTCTCAAACTGAATTTCTCTGTTAGTTACACTGAAATTTATAATCATTAACATCATATATCTTAACAGAGAGCCCGAGGAACTATTTTCGGACGAATATTCACAAGTGAAACTAAGAAAGATCAATTAGATATGGCTCTCTCTATTCAAAGTAGCTTTCAAACACCTGAGCTTAAACATAAATGTTTAATATTTTCAGTCGGCGATTCTGATACGAGAAATCATACATCAACTATATCACTTCCAGCAAGTATTGATGGAAAAAGGTATATTTGTTTCCATCCATCAGGCGACGAGGAAGGAGAACTATGCAAGTGGATCAAGTGGGCATTTTTCTTATTTCTTCCCAAAATATTATGAGTATTGCAGTTTCGAGGTTGAAGATTTGAAAACATACAGTCAAGCTCACACATGGCAAACAGGCAAAGGAATATGTGAGAGGTAAGGAATTTTGAGAAATAATAGAAATAGTGATAATGAAAAACAACGAATATATTATTCTGTGTTTGTAGATGCAATGAAAGAGGGCCAGAAGCAATATGGGCTGTATTGGATCCTAGATCATATATGGATGGAATAAACTCACCAAAAGAGCTTATTGCATTCGTTTTTGAAGCTACTCTTGTAGTAGTTTTGATATTAGCTGTAATACTCGTATGTACAAAATGTCTAATACCACTGGCTCGATGTTCACTACATGTTCCCAGAGTATCATCGAAAAAGTAGAAAAAACCCAATGTATTTGTAAATATTGATTGATTCCTCCAAAGACCTTATCGATTTTTCTTTTTTTACCTCTTTCTCTCAATATAAACTACATGCATCTCTTCCTATTAAGGAAGACAAAGAGATTATTAGATACTTTACTTCATTATGTCTGCAAAGACTAGTCTTGCCGAATCTTGTCCAGTCTTTTCTGATTACCGGTATCTATCAGAATTCTCATTGTTTCGCATTTTTTTAAAAAAATTTTAAGCTTGCTCACATTCGTACTTATCATGAGATTATTATAATATACCAATTTGTTTTTAATAAATCCGGTTTGTAAATTTATGTTTTCAAGAAAAGAATATGAATCATCTGGAAATGAAGAACACTCTAGCTTTGTCTGCATCAAGCTCTTCGTCATTCTCCAGTAGAAAGATAAGGAAGAAGTGCATACTTTTCCTCATTGTAATGAAATGCTCATGTTATTGTCTACATCGTTTTGGCAACCTCTTAAGGATCTAAGATCTTGTTTTTCTTTCTCAAAGAGATTTTCGAGAACAAATAATCCTATTAACACATTGTGCTGATGCATCACTGAAAAAATTTTCCATTTTCTTATCAATATGGAGAAGTTTTATCAATTTGCTTCGGACGTCTATCGAAAAGAATGTGTTCCGTTTAAGCCTATTGGATTTGTCAACAAATCGAGTAAGAGAGATTTTCATGTAATACCTTTCTCTAAAGCTAATATTAATGAAATGCAAAATGATGTGACTGCAGATCTTTTCATTCTTTTGATCTTGAGAACAGGAATAAGCTCTTTAAATAGTTTATGGCTTGAAATGTCCACTTGTTGCTATAATCCTTGTCCAAATGACACATTCTTTCTCCTTTTTTTCTAGTTTTAACTTCTAAAAAAAGCAATTTTTTTGTGATTTCAATCACTCTCAATGTCAATCCAGCTTAACCCACCACGAGTTTCTCTTTTATTCAAATATTTGTGTTCTTGTTGATTTTTGACACGTTGACGCATTTCTTTACTTTTTATAGTATCCTCTAACAATTTTTGAGCTTGTTTCCTTATGAAGCTCAGGTAAAGGCATGTGTAATGATTGTCATTTGTTTGTTCGACAACTGTTCTCACATTCAAAAAGCAAATGAGAGAACGAATACAAAAGAGAGACGATGTGCTGTAGAAGGGGGAAGGAAATACAGATAGAAGAGAAATGTCTGTGATCAGACATACATAGATGTAGCCGAAGAAGCCAAACAAACAAAATTGTGGTGCAACTGAAGAATTAGTCTTGCGTCCACTACTAGCTTCAGCTTTCACATAGTTGACAAACACTTGTCTTCACACGTTTTACTATAGCGATAGTTCGTTCAAATTCAAATTATAAATCTGTTCATACTATTTTCATTATTATTACCTACATTTCTCTCTTTATGGTTCTCAATATCAGTTTATCATCTTAAAATCTCCGCATCAGTATTTTTCGATTCAGTGTCATCTCTGCATTCATACTTGTAGCTTGAAAAGTGTTCTGATAAAAAACAACGAACTTTTTTTTATAAATGAACCGTATCTGGTCATACGTCGACACGTGTGAGTCAGAGCTATGTATACATTCCATTCGACTCTCATTCTCTTCTTTTCTATCTTTACCTCTTTTTTTCGTCACCTCCAACTACTAACTAAGTGCATTAGACATTTGAGCACGAAAATTTTCAAAATAGCAGTCATTCTTGTCTTGGCCCGTTACCTCACTTGTTTACCGTATCTATCATGGCGATAATTCCGATAAGAGCAGTTTAAATTGTCGTATTTTCTTGATCCCGCCTAACTTTTTGCTCTTCACGCTTGTTTTTTCTATAAAAACGTGTAAAACTTTTTTTTTCGCTTACGCGTGGAAATGAGCGCTCGTGTCCAGTCATTTTGTAGATGTGTTTCACACAGTGCGGTCGCATTCAATTCTTTCAATCCAATTTTTTATTTATTTTTCGTTGAATACGTCCATAATAACCTATATTCCATATATATATATAAATGTATTACTATGAAAATAAGGAAGAATTTTTGATGAGCAAATATCCATTTTTGAAATGAACACATCTGGATTTAGAAGGATTTTTCAATAAAATGGATCATCAACTAATGGCTTTCTTTAAACATCCCAGCTTACTATTGTGATAGGTTACTTTGAAAATAGACCACCTGTCCAACAGGATCATCTGTCCATGCGTCTGGAAGGTTGGAGAAAGGAAAATAAACTTCTTTCAACACGCTATGGTAAAAGCTATTCCAAGGCTGTCGGTATATCTTTTCTTCTTTTATCTGACATGTCCGCCTCTCTCTCCCTCTTTTCTGTTTAAGCCAGTCTCATGCCTTCCACTGCTTCTGTATTTTTCTTTTCGTCTTCTCTATAAACGCTTTTCTCGGCAATGACCGTTGACTGTGTTAGCCCATGAAACGAGACAGAACTAGAAAAAGAAAGAGAAGAAAGAGAGAAATCATCTTGTTGCTTGATGTTTCTCCCTTTCCATTTCTCGTAAATCGTCAGCAGGCTAAGCCTTTTCGATTGTCTCAAACCTCCTATGACAATACCGACCATAATATTTAAGGTCATCATATTTCTAGCTATTTTCAGTTCTCTGCAAAAAAATGATGTCATTTCGTAATCTATCGCCTCATTATGGGATAAACTCCCCTTCAATACCATCTTGAAGTTGTGAAATTCTAAAGCAACACAAAAACACTTTCGTTTAGCTGTATTATGGAGGATTTTCTTCGCTAAATAGTCTCTATCTCATGTGCCATTATTTTTTTTCTCTCTATCAATTGCTCTTCTGAAAATATAGCATTTATTTGAATGTCCTTTTTTGACATGAAAATAAATATTTTTACTCCTTATTCGGAAAATATGAACATAGATTAAGCCAATACATGGAGCATCCCCAACGCTTCTCAGCACCCTCTCTCTTCATCTGTCAGTTGACTTGTCTCTGCGTCTTTGCCCTATTCGACTCGACGCTTCTATTCTCTCCCTCTGCCGTGACTATGTCTTCACAGGACTCTGCAGAATCTGGCGTCATGGCAGAATTCGATTGCTAATATTTTTTTTCTTTAATTCCTGTTTGATTTCAAAGTTTAAAAAATTGTTATCCACGCTGTCTCACCTACAAATGTTTTCTAATCAAATCATTCGAAAACCAGCTGTTAAACTAATGATAACAAAAGATTTTTGGTTTGGTCATCTCATGTTTGGCGTCCTATCAAGCGCACTATTGTTAGTGTTGTCTTATTTAATTGAAATTGCACATTTCCGTTAAAACTTTTGTGAAAATATTCAATATTATCTATTGTTTTTATGATGAATAACGGAAAATTAAATTTCTGAAACTTTGAATACGTTGTAGGCATACATGGAATGTGATTTAACAATGCATGCTGACCGTATGACCGTTTTAAATTAATTTTTTTTATTTCTCTTTTTGATATTACTCATCTGCTTCTCATCAGGCTCCTATCTCCTACTTAAACTCAAAATAAACAACTATCTTCCCTTTCTATTTGTTGTTCTATTTTTTGTTATCAAAATTGATCGTTGTCTTTGTGGTTTTAGTTCAGTGAATAGGGTGGTTTCTACGAGAGCGAAAAGCTAGTTTGCATATTCTTTAGATTTTTCTCAAATCTCTCTTTCCTGGTCTAGACTACCGACCACCCCTACACCCGCCCGGACAGGCTGATGATCTATGTTTTTTGTTGTGGAAGCTTTCATGAAAGACATCCATATGTTAGTAGCCTATTAGCCCTGTTACAAAAGATTCTGACCAACTGCATACTACGATATTAACAAAAAATAACCAGCATCATATAGTTTTGTATTACACTGCCTCAACGACCGGTCTTCAGGTGATATCACCTAAAAAGTGAAATAACGGATTACGTAGTTTATTTCACGTAAATTTTCCACGTAAACGTTTTTGTAGTGTTCAGAGACGCCATATTAATACACACAATCGTATTGTTTTGAAATTCATTTCCCAGTTCTTAGATTCCTTCTCAGATCTTTGGTTAGGGTACATCATCTCGAGATGTTTCTGTTTGTCTTTTGTTGTAATTATGTTCTAATTGTTATTGCTTCTTTTTTTCTTCACTGTTTTTGAAATACGTAGTGAGTTCTAGCGGTTTGCTAAGCTCAATTATTTTTCAACGTCTTAAAAAAAATTCAATTGATAATAGGAACATGTTATGCCTTCCTCTTAAGTGGTTCGCTATACCCTGGAATCCCAAATATGCGCTTCGTTTATCGCCGCGCTGATCTCAAACAGCATTTAATTTCCATCCGAGTTTATTTCTCACTTTATTCCTCGATCTTTCTTCTTATATTCTCAAATAGAATTTCATATATTTCAAATTTCAATCGCCCTCCTAGCATCCTCATTATGAAATTCAGAACAATTCAGTCGCCACTGTTTGTCAATCGCGCTTGAGAATCTGTTTATCTACCTTGATTACTCGATTTTTTTGTGATTTAACAACTCTAATTTGTTTTACAGCACTCATTTTTTTGTTTTTCTCCAAGTTCTCTACTAGTTTTCGCCATGTAACGTTTTCGTAATAGTTATACGCAATGTATAAGTATCTGGTTTGATTCATCATTGTTATATTTTATGTTTTTTGCAGAGTCTCTCTTTCTTGTCTTGTTGCTACTAAGCTTTTGATTCGTGTTAAGTCTTTCGTTTCAGTTGTGCTATGTGAGGTTAAGAATACATTCTAGTATTACTCAGCATCATGATGGTCTCGAATATTATAGTTTTGAAGGACCTAGGTCCCACTCACAGAAATGATGGAGCTCGGTAAAACATATCATTTTTCATTTTATTATTTTCATTTTGCAGCTGCTCTGTGAGAGTTATGGACGGAATGTCCGATAGAATGGCTCAACCTTCCGTTTCCGGCATCTCTGTCGACCCTGACTGTTGTTCCTCGTCTTCTGAATGTACGGATGAAAGTGCATCTAGCAGTCCAGGAAGAGAAGTATTCATTTTTTTTTTTTCGAAACGTAACATGTTTCCTTCAGCCAAACCTTCACCCGATCACACAGCTCGTGGGACCGCTTTACTACCGTGAGGATTTCGAACTACTCCAAAAGTTAGGCGAAGGCTTTTTTAGCGAAGTCTTAAGGGTGAGTCTGTCCATTTTATCTTAATGATCATTGAATTCTCCTTGGCTTGAAGTCATTATCTTTTGTCAAAATGGACAAATTCATCTGTCGTTTCGTCAATTGATTATAGATATATAGGAAAATCAGCCTTGACATGCTATTTGTTACTTTTTTTTTGAAAAGGTTTAACACTTTATTAGTTTTTTTATTCGCTTTCGATACCCTACCTTGAATGTTACTCTTTAAATCACCATAGGGGTTCCTGTAGAAGATATGAACTTCTCTGCTATACCATCACGATCGTTCTCAAAGTTTTTGTTCAGGTGAAGCATCGTGATCACAATGAGGAAATGGTTCTGAAGGTTAACAAAAATTCTGCTAACCGCAACAGACGATCCATCCATGCCGAGGTAGCTAGGGAAGCGGATATTATGAGAAGATTGAAGCATGAGAATATTCTCGCCTTAAAAGGCATTTGCCTCGAGAGAACTTTGGATGGAAGTAAGAATAGTTCAGTGTTCTTCGATCATTAATTTTTTAAAGAGTGGGATATTCAACTTTTGGTCGATTTCTGTCAAGGTGACAGCTTATCTCGGCTTATTCTGGACCGGTTCGCTCCATTCCCATGGCAATGTCGGACAGAATTTGCCCTTCATATTGCCTCTGCTATGGAATACATTCATGACCAAAGGATAATGCACAGGGACTTAACGAGCATGGTTTGTTTATATTGAATTAAAATACATAATCCTTGGTAAAACTTTAGAACGTGCTCATTCGTTATAATGACGCAAGTAATGACTTGTTATCTAGCCGAGCTATCGTCGCCGATTTTGGATTGTCCTGTAGCTTTCCAAAAGTGGGAGAACAATTGCCACAGGTTTCCTAAGCTTATCATCCTTAATGTACATATCTATGTTCAGGTCGGAACTACATACTACATGAGTCCTGAGTGTCTTAAAGAAGAATATTATGACGAGAAAGTTTGTGTTAGAGTAAAACCCATTCTAACTATTTTTCTGTTTCAGTCTGATATATTCTCATTCGGTATTATTCTGTGCCAAATGATAGCACGAATAGAAGCAGACCCCGACAGTGGTTTACATAGAACAAGCAATTTTGGCCTAGATTATGTTCTATTTACTCCTTGTTGCCCTCCTGATACTCCTCTTGAGTTGTTAGAGTTGGCTTTCAATTCTTGTTTGGTAAGATATTAATTGTTATCATTCTTACCTATATTTTTAGCTTGATCCCGGATCTAGGCCAAGCTTTGCTACGCTAGCATCATCTCTCAGGAAAATACTAGATCATATGATTCAATCACCAAAATTGGAGAAAGATTGTATGTGACATCTTTTGAAGTTCCGTTCATGTCATTTTTCTTAGTGTCAATGGAACTCCGGCTTGGAAGATCACGATCAGATGCCGCTTTGAAGAAGCCCCGCAATTTAAACGGAAGGAAGCTATCAAGCAACATTTTTTTCAACACCCCCATAATAGAAGGTACGATAATGTTCTATATTTCATTCTCACAAAGAATACTTCAGGCATTGTAGATGAATCATCGATCACAGCTATGAAGAAGTTGGCAAGTGATGTCGCTAAGGAAGAACCAGCTTATGATCATCATACTAATCCTTTCTTGATACACGAGAGATTCAGGTGCGAAATCGTTAAACGATGTTTATCAGAAAAACAATTTAAGAAAGGAACGAAAAATAGTCCCTCGCGTTGATGGAAGAAGAAGGAGTAACACAAAGCCAGAAGCGGCATCAAGTGACACTGCAGATTCATCAAGAAGGTTTGAAAATATATTGTTTTGTCAGTCAGCGTATTCCGGTTTAGGATATACCGTAGAAGATGCTCTTCAATACCATGTGAAGCAGAGTACATCCTCGATCCTGTTGATGAAGAAGCTGACATATCTACTGGTCGAATGCCTATGGCTTACAGGGATTACGACAGGGTACGTTTATTTCTCTTAATATATATCATAAATTGTCATACATTAGGATTTTGCCAAATCTATGAAGCGTTTCCCGTCACGTCGGCATACCATGATTCCAGAATGCCTGGCATCAAAAACTTCGATGAATGCTCGAACTCACCGCAAGAGAGAGTCTTCTGGAGGTTATAAAACTGACTTAGAATCTATTGTGAGTAATAAAAATTATGATAGAAGTGAACAACTGTTATTTATAGTCTGCCTCATCTCAAGTTGAATCAGTAATAGTTGATAAAAATAATGAAGAGAATGAAGTGAGTTTAATGAAGTTGATCTGTTTTCAACAAAGATTTTTTCCAGAATCTCTGTATCCCAACACCTGTTGATGTGGTAACAGTTCAGCCATTGAGTTTGGCATCATCAGAAATGTCAACAAACTCAGTTTCAGCGTCAAGTAATCTAGGTAAGCAGTTGATCGGTTTTTTTTCTTTCTATGACATATTTTGTTTAGACGATTCACTAAACAACAATGAACTGAAAGCATCGTGGGGTTCAAGAAACTCTCTTTCTACATGTATTGTATTTAACAACTCAAAGCGTTCCGAGAACATATGTATGCCTTCAGTAGAAGAGAAGCATCACAAGTGTTCTATACTTTAGACATTTTTCGATATAAGTCGAAACTATCGGAATCCCTTTCCAGCTTTAACTTGTAGGTCTCATGTAACTAGTATTACATATCGGTTTGATTATTGCCAATTCAACATTTCTGTGATTTTCTCTCAACTTTCGCTCACTTCCTATTTATTCTTGAATATTCCGGGGAAGCTTCATTTAAAGCTCCATATGATCCTCATTTTTGTTTTTCCTTTTGTTGTTGTGTTGAACTTCCGTTATGAGTTAGCGTCGTCACCTTACAAAGGTAATATGAAGGCATGCTACCTATTACTAATAAGTGTACAGTCCACTTTTTCCATTTTGTACATAAAATATCATCTGAAATATCGATAAATTTTGTTACATTTTAAACACAAATAACAATATGAGAATCCACCAAATAAGAACAAGCAAAACACTAGTTAGGTTGGAGACAATCTCGCAGCATCAATATATACATCGCCAAGCGAGCTACTGGCTATAATATTATTGTAGTGGCTTATGCGTGATATGATATAAATGTCAAGAGTTATCCCATTCTTAGTCTGTTTTTCACTTCCAACTAGACGTAATCAATTCATTCCTATGAATGAAACAGAAAACCCATTCATCTCACAACGTGCGCGTCAGTGGTAAGACCCTAAATACTATCTTTTTTCGGTTTTGAACCTTATGGGGAAGTTAGTATTATAAATACGGGTGAGATTTTCCCGTTTTCCTCAGTATGCTCACGTGCGCTCAACCGAATCAGTACTAGATCAATGTGAGAGATGAACTATATATTCGACAATGAGAATAATAGTGGAGCGATAATTGGATAAACCTGAGCTAATTTGAGAATTTACGCTAGTGCCCTTCAATCGTTCTTACTATTTAGTTGTTGTAAACAAAGTTTTCGAATTGGTTATTACTATGCTCATATATGTATATTTTCAAATTTTACTTGCATGGCAACGCGATTGTAGAATGTGTGTATCACGGGACGTTGTTATTAATTTGATATTTGTTCATTCTCATCAAAGTTATTAACAATGCCAGAAATCGATCGATGAATTTGAATTATTACGGCTAGTGTAGGTTGTATCCACGTAAAACACGTGGAAGGTTATTTACTAGTATATGGACACACTGAGCGGTTGACTGTGTTTTTAATTCGCATATATTTCTTTTTCTCATTCTATGCTTTATTTTCTTCTTTGTTTATCTTTCATATTACAAATTGTTGATGTCAATTATATCTTCGCTAAGCTGTTCGATTCACGGCTTGGTCCGATTATATACTTATTATCTTCTCATAACATATTTCATTAGTGCTGAGCCTTATTTAGATTTTCTATAATAATATGCGTTCTCTGTACTTTGATCGATAGTTGTTAGTTTGTGATCTTATCAGAAAACCAGAAATGTTTGCTAGTATCACAAAATATTGCTGTCAAGTTCAATGTAATTTTACCCTGTAACTGTAAAGTTTGAGTAACGATAGAGAGATTTATACATTGAGAAAACTTCAATTGCTTCCGTTCTATTCCGATTGCACAAAACTTTCTTTGATAGCAAGTATATTAGGAATTCAATGTAGTTTAATGATTTTACGTGAATTCTTGATTGTCTGTCCGTTTTCTAAGTATTGAAGATCTCATTATCAGTATATTCTGTAAGAAACAGTTCACAATATTTTTGCACTCATTGTTTGTCGCTCAGGTCATCGATATTCCCAATATTTTCTCAGTTTTCTTTGGAAAATTGACGTTATAAGAATATTTGTTCATTTTCATCGCTTTTCAGGTAGCCATGGTGTTTTGGATTAGTGACGATGTGATGAAAGACCATTACTGCCCTTGGGACAGTTACCATATAGAAGTTCCTCAGCGATTGGATACAATAGATCAAAGAATGGAGGTGGTTCTTTCCTAATTTGTTTTCTCATAGTTGTGGCATCCTTAGGATTGTGATTTCTCCGAGAGAGTTACAAAACTACCTATTAGACTGTGTGAAGAAGAGGAAATACAATTGGTTCATACAACTCGTTATATTGATGATATCAAACAAACCTCCAAGTTTTCCGAAGTAATAATATTGTGGAAATTAATTCTAACATTTTGTATTAAGAAAGAATTTGAGCCATTCTCAGCAAAATATGAAGATATTTATGTAAACCAAAACACTTACAATATCGCTCGAATAGCTGCAGCAGCAGCCATTGATTTGACCGCAAAAGTTTACGCCACAGGGTGAGTTTATGAGCATGAAACTAAATATAACCTTGAAATAAACAAACTAAAAGTTAAGAAATTTCAATTTTTCGAGTTTCTCTATTAAAAAAGAATTGAAGCCCACGGCCGGGATCGAACCGACAATCTTCTGATTAGAAGTCAGACGCCTTATCCATTAGGCCACGCGGGCTACGTTGAGTTAAAATGAAAAACTCTATTAGTTTTCAGTCTCACATTGCTGAAACAATGCAATATTGTTCTTTATTTCATATGTTCTTCTCAGTGAACCTGGTTTTGCTTCAATACGACCTCCAGGTCATCATGCTTCTCCCGATGCGGCATGTGGTTTCTGTATTTTCAACAATGTAGCCATTGCAGCTAAGAGCGTAGGGAAAAGAGTTTGTTTTTTAAAAAAAAATTTGTTTGTTTGAGGTCATCAAAGCAGGAGCTAAACGAGTGTTGATAGTGGATTGGGATGTACACGCAGGGCAAGGAACTCAAGACTGTATTGAGAATGAAGAAAATATTAGATTAGTTTCTATTCATCGGTTTGAAAATGGAAAGTTTTGGCCCAACCTGGAACAGTCTGATGTTCAAACTGAGTGTAAGTTCGCGTTCAGAAATAGCTTTTGTTTTCATACTTGTTTCAGTCGAAAAGACCGTCAATGTTCCACTTAATACAACAGGCATGACAGACAGTGATTATATCGGTATTCTAAGCCTTGTCGTTGTGCCGATGATTCAAGACTACAAGCCCGAAATGATAATCGTGAGCTGTGGATTCGACGCTGCTTTCGGTTGATATAGCTGTTATCATACTCGATAATACTCTTCTTCAGGTGATCCGGAAGGAGAAATGGCGGTTACTCCAGGAGGGTTCGGAACAATGGCACAAATTCTTCTAAACATGGGCATACCTACAGCATTTATATTGGAGGGCGGATACTTTTTGGATGCTGTGGCTGCAAGCGCGGAGTTTGTGTTAAGAGCAATGTTGAAAGATGACGCTCCTCATATTGATTTCAAAGTGAGAAACCTGGGTTAATAATTTTTAAAACTTAATCTGCCTAGCCTCTTAATTCGGAGTTAGTACCGGTAATACGGCGGATCCACAAGCATTTCTCAAAGCAGTACCCGTCTTTCTCCGCATTAAGTAAGCTGCAAGAAATAGTTAAACCAGATTCGGTATGCTGATGTGAACTTGAGTTTATCATGATGAAGCTACTTACAGCACGAAGACATCCAAGAGTTTAAAGGAGTTAGGAACATGATCATACCTTTCCCCACTCGTGGATTGTACAACGCCAGGGACGAGTCGGTAAGATTAGTTTAATTTTATCTATAGCATTGAGCAATTAAGTTTGAAACAAGTTTATTGGTAGAGCTTGATGACATCGTTAATGCTTACAAAAAAGCAAACTATCAAGTTAGTTGAAAAAAGAATAGGCAAGCGATCAATACACTCTTATAGACAATAATCCTTGAAAACAACGATTCGATCGAGTTAAGGGTAGAAGACGATCAAATATTATTACTTTTACCCTACCGTCTATTCTCGTTGGCTTACTCTTCGGTAAAGTCGTTGGAACTTTCTTCTCATTTGTTTTCTTTTTTTCCAGGTTGTGCTACCGATCAATCCTACCACCCCTCCTTCATCCAGCAAAATCCCTGAGTTTGATGGCCCTTCGAAAGAGGATCTCATACACTTCCAAAGTTTCCTGAAGGACCAAAAATGTAATGAAGTACTCAAAAACTTGCCAATTTACAGTATTTATAATATATGATTCTGAATCTCTTCAGCATATGATCCTATGTTACCTAACTTTCATTCCTAATACTTAGATTAATCGTTGAAATATCATAAGGAGGAAGGAATTCCAGATAGGAATTCGTTTATTGGCATTCTCTCTTTCTTGTAATAAAAAAATTTATTAAAAGATGCTGTCGTACCCACGAAAACAGCTTGTTCATTCATCTATTAGACTACACGTCATTGAACCTAAACACGACGTGCAATTCGTTTTGCTGAATTCATTGACTGAGTACGGTTGTACCCATTGTGATATATCTTTCCCTTCAATGCAAAGCCTAATTAGCGAACATAAACCCAGATGAGTAGAACGCGTAAAGAATGGAATGCATGTTTCCCTAGACTGGGAATTCCTTCATCGAGACACCCTTATTGTATGAACATATTTGCTGCATTGTGAACCAAGAAACTGGAGTTAATCTGTATAGTATGAACTTTCGAAAATCTGTGCATTGGCGTTTGTATTTCGTTTGTGGAGTTTCATCTTATGAATCAATTTATTTTATCTAAAGATTATGGAATTACAATACTCGTAATAAATAGGAATGATTAATTTAATCAATCACAGCTTCCGTATAACCGATGAGGATTTTTATGCGAATCAGGCTTTTAGTTATTTAAAATGATTATCAATATATACATAACAAGCATGGCTTAAATAGTCAACCTAAGGAATAGATTTGAGGTAATATGATTAAAGAGTATGAAACAAAGACCATGCTCATGTTTACCCATAGTAAAGGCATATTGTTTTAGCCAATTCGAAGTAAATTAGCTTTATATTAACATGATTTCAAAATACCCTCAAGTACTGATAGACCTTTCAGTGAGCCTTCATCTGGTCCAGTGTACAGTTGATCTTCTAAAAATCCTGGGAACGTGGCGTTCGCAAAATCAACAATGCGCACTTCAGCTTTCGGTGAACGGGAAGTGTCTCCTTCAAGTTTACTTGTTATCTAGCAAACATAAAAAACTTTCAAACCTTCTACGACAACCAGAATTGATGAGCCAAACAAGCGTATGCCATCCATAGATTGCAACGTCTGTGAATAAGGGAATAAGATAACTTAACTAAGCATGGCTTACCTTTGTAATTTTTTGAACTTTTTCTAAAACTATTGAAATGGAATCAGCTGAGGAGCTGAAAAATCTTCTAATATCTTCAGTGAGCATTTCATCGGTCAAAAGACGTCCAGCGTATTTATCTTTGGTTAGAATGTCTCCTGAAGGAAGTGACAGATACATTCCTTAAATAAATATGTATATCAGTTTTTTGTTCAATCATTTATGAACAAACCGCATAAACGGATCCCCATTCGTGCTGAAGTTGTTTTAAAGCATTTTTCTATCTGAGAAGCAGCCTTGGCGGCTGATGCACCGTCACCATGTTGTCTAGTGCCCAACTTCAAGTCTAAGACACATGGTCGCACAAAATCACGAGTCAGGTCATTTAACACCAAGAAATTCCTGAGAAGAATGGAGTGTTAAGATCAAATGAGAAAATTAATCATCATGTACCTCGACATTTTGCGCTTCTTTTGTGTCGTCGGTGACTGAGTTGCTCGAGGTATGACGACATTTTCTTCACATTCCTCTAAGCAGAGTGTGCAAGGTTTTGACGAAAATTCTGACCAATCACCCTGAAAATGAAAAATTCATAAAGTTCAATGAAAACTATGATACAACCGCTTAAAGCGCGTGCACTATGGCGAATGGTATTGAGTTCAAATGTCCTTAACGTGGCATTTCACGTGACATTGAATGGGGCATACATAATTTTAGGAGTGAACATACCTGAATGGTTGAGCAACAGGCAGGTGAGATAGGAATTAAAGCTTCGGGCATCAATTGATAAAAATATAATTCTCTTTCGTCACATGGCTTCAGAAGATGACCATTAGGTAGCATGCAAAATGCTGTATGACCAGCTACCTATAAAGAAACAAAAAATGATTGGAGGAGGTTATCTTCTATCTATGGAAGTATGAAATGATTTATTAACAGATGATACAATTCCTTGTGAATGCATAGAATTGTATTGAAACATATTGTATATTATATATTACACGGATATCGACTCAAATTATTTTACAATTTTCTTTCAAATCATATAACAACATATAATATTGAAAATGTTTCTCATCCTAGAACTCTATGTAGAATGTCATGCAATGAACTAACCTGGTAACGAAAAGGCTTAACTACAACACCTCCGCATGTCTCAAGATCGCCCGTATCGTCAGTTGAGCAAATCCTTTTGACATTCAACACCATGTTTGTATGGAAATCCACTATAAATCTGTAAAGCGGAAGCATATGAATGTGAATCTATGAAAGAGGGTGTGGAAAAAGAGACGAAAATAAGAAAGCGGTGGACATTGATATATAGAAAAAACCGAATGAAGAGCAAGTTGTTAAACAAGCCTTACTTAGGTAACGCCCTAACAGCAAAAATCAGGTTTCAATTGAAAGTTTAAATTTTAATTAAGCAAATAAAAAAAAAAGGAAATGAAAGAATCAGTAGAATTGTCATGAATGAACTGATTGAAGAAATGGGTCTGTGTCTATTGGAAAGATAGATAGGATGGATGAGAGCAATGACCTTATAAATAAGATATAAAAAAAATTAAATCAATATCAAAATTTTTTTCCAGATGTTATGATGGAGGAAGGAAATGGAATGATCCATCAGAAATATGTTTGAATAGACCATTTCTTTAATTTTTCTTCGCCAAAAAAATGTCTATCAGTTAGTCATCTAAACTTGATTCTGATGTGAAAACGGAAATAATGTGCGATGCTATGAATGGTCAGATGAAGAATTAAAGAATTCTTTGGAAAGTTCAAGATGCACAAAAATCAAAAAAAGAAATCACATGATCAGTGGAATGGAAACATCGAAATGATCTGATTCGCATTCTCAGCTTTCAGGGGGTATTTGTTGAATTCGAAGAAAATTAGTGAAGGAGATGGAATAGATGAAGTCGAAAAGCTGTCTAATCAAATCAAATCATCATCAGATTCCTAAATTGACATCCATCGATTGATTTGATAGGGAGAAAGAAGAAGAAGAAGAAGAAGATGATGATGATGATGAACAAACGAACGATTATGAAGTAAGTATGGAACTAACTGGTGATAATTATTACTTGCAATACATACAGAAAAAGTTCTTTCTGTTCTTTGAATTTCTTTCATTCGGCCAGAACCGTTGAAGGTGGGAAGACCATTCAAAGAAATGTTTTTCATGTATTTCTCAAAATGTCAACAAAATCATTTTCCTTTTTAATTAAGCAAAAGCTACAATAACACAAATCATAGTGAGAATACAAGATTTCAGGTTCTTTGAATGATTCTGCTAAATAGTGAGATGAGAGTAGGCTAGTTGATGTATTGAGCAGTAAATTGATTGATTCGAAACATATTGTACTCTGATATTAAAGCTCAAAGTCTAAGTGTTACATGAAGTTCTTAATCTTCAAATGTATTAATCTCAATTAAATCATAGCTCACTTGTGAAAGAGAAACAAGAGTAATAGAACAGTTATAATTATATAAGCAATGAAACCACTAACAGAATGATGAAAGATAGATAGATCATGATGAAGCCGACAGAAACTACATCAGGAAATGAACTGTGACGGTCATATAGCATGGCTCTGTTTAACATCAGATGATGTAAAAAGCCTTTTACAGACATTTTCGGTCAATTTGAACAGTCACAACCACGCATCATGTTATCTGGTACAAAAACCAACCGGAAACTTATGTGATAAGAGCACACCCTTTTCTAATAATATCATAACGTCGACATCGCTTTTAATCCTTAAATTTATTTTTTTCCGAACTTCACATGTCATCACATAAAGGTTTCACGTGCAATGCACGTGAGACGCTTTTTGGCTTCATTTCGTCACAGCTACACCACAGAGACGGTTGTTTTCAAAATTTTTGTGCGCAAACTTTAAAAATTTAAGAAACATTATTGAATTAAAATATTTTAAAAGAATGTTTTTTGATTTTCATTCAGCGCTTACGCTTAATGAAAACGAAATATCAACCTGTCTCACCCATACAAGTTTTGATTTTCCTAAACGGTGACTGAAGTCAGTAAGACACGAAGTCAGTTCATTTGAAGTACACTTGTACCACGAAAATTAGGAATTCGAAAGTTTAAAACTTTTTTATGTGTGTAAACCGAAAACTTCCATTATCTATCAATTAATTAGATATAATGAATTTGATGAAAGAACGGATGCGTCTGATGAGATCAATTAGAAAATCAATTGTAAACTTTAAAAAAACAGTTTCGTTCTTGTCCAAGAGATGCGAGAAACAATATTTTCACATATATTATATAAGAAAGTGTCACAAGAAGGATGGGAAGATATGAATTGTGAGGAGTTTCATCATCTTCAAATGCTTTCATAGAACAAAAACAAAAATAAGAAGGCAATAAGATTAAACAACATGATGTCTGATCTTCGCTCAAGTACTATCTAGCCATCATAGGATAGCAACACATAGAAGGGGTAAGTTGAAAGGTAATAATTATTTATCGTCAAACTCTAGAAAAAGAAGATATAACTCTTGAGATGAACGGATCACAAAGACGTAGGTGGTAGCTGAGGACATGTGATGAACATGAGATCCTGAGTACATATGATGGGGTGAGGATCGAAATTCTTTTGAATGTGTTTCAGAAATATTTTTATTGCTAATAGTTAGTAGAAAACTGAAGAGTTTTTTGTTCACAAAAAAAAATTCCAGAAGAATTGAGAAAAAGCAATTGAGATTGAGAGAGGTTGAGAGAAGAAAGAAAAAGGAAAACGATAGAGAGGGTGACAACCTCTACACACTACAAGTGAGAGAGAGAGAAAGCGATTGAGAGTGAATAAAGCTGTTCAAACTGAGCTAACCAACACATAGAGAGAGAAAAATGCTCAAATAAGGAAACATGTTCATGAATGAATTTAAAAGTGAGAGTGGAAGGAGGTCAACGACGTTAATAAAGATGAAATTATCAGTTAATGATAACCATAATCGTTGATAAAGTTAAAATTTCATACAAACTATTGCATGGAGAGTAGTCTCTATCGATGACAAACCGATTGTGAACAAAGAAAATAAGATAAGAGAACTGAGATAAGAGTTTTGGAGAAAACTAAATTTACTTGAGTTTTCTGAGCCAAAAAAGGAAGTTAAACCTGACGTTGAAAAATGTGAATAACACGTGGTTCACTTAACCATTTTTCAATGCAATCTTCAAGATAAAAATTGCTTTTTGATTTGTGATAGTCATCCTAATATGGATTGAGCTGTTGATGTGCAATGATAAGAGAACGAAATTTTGGTGAAAAGATCTAAGCTCGAGGTGAGATCAAATGTCAAATGTGGTGAAGGAGCAAACACCTAGTGTAAAGAAGAAACCATTTCTTTTTTTAAATATTACCATTTTACGGACAAACAGTGTGTTTGTTTGGAACACAATGAGGTAATTGACCATATGTGGAGTTTGTAATGGATGAGTAAACGTTATTGATTGCTTTGTCTTGACTCATACAATACATTTCTTTCTGAACGCATTGACAAAAATATTTTTTTTTTGAGTAAAGTTTCAGATTGTTTATGAGAAAAGGAAAATGGTGAGCGTGTGTAACCGTCAGAAAGTGTCTGTTGGTACCAGAAGAGTCCGATTCATCCGAGTTTTCGACGTTGTTTTCTTTCAATATGGAAAGACTTCTTTCTCCTAGACACAAACGAATAATTGAAGAAGAAAAAGTATTATTTTCTTCGTTTATTTCATATTTACAATTAGCATAATGTGATTTGAGATCATTCTCAGTTCGCACTCCTGCTTAAAGAGCTGTTCTGTCGACTTTGAGTCATCTGCAATGAAGTTTAATAAACTGAAGTGAAGTTATGATATGATGATCAGTTGTTAACCTTAGAGCTTAACAACAATATTTTCTAATAAAAGAAAGAAAATAATGGGAGAAGGAGCAAATTTCGAAAGAAGTTGAACACAAAAAACTGAGGAGAAGAGAAAGAGGAACAACCGCATCTTACGTCTGAGCTGAATGAAATGATGAATCACGTATATAGATTGTTCACCCTCTTTCATGATAAAATCGTTTTCAGAGCAAACAATAAACTGGAATTTGTCATTTTCAAACTATTTCAGCTTTCAAAACATTAGAAAGTGGTTCGAAACCTTATTTAGTAAAAGAAAAACGACAATAAACTGATTTTGGCTATGGTAAATGGCCTTAACTGTGCTGTTTCAGAATGAAAAACAACGAAGAGAAGAAGAAGACAAAAAATAAAGAAAAAAGGCCAGATATTATCAAAAAACAAAAAAAAAACGAGAAAAACAGTGCAAGGAAGTTAGTAAGAGAGGCCATTCATCTCATTTTTTGGAGCAAAACTAGTAAGAAAGAAGAATGCCCATAGGAAGGGAGATGGGGGCAGAAAGAGAGAAGGGAATCAGATGAAAACATGTGAGGATTACCCATCCGATGACTTGGAAATGCAAAATATAAGATGAATGCGAAAGAAAACATTCGGAATATACCAAACGTAATTAATCTGTAAAGTAAGGGGGGAAAAGCGGAGAAGAGGAAGAAAGAGGAAATCTATACAATATTTGCTTTTTTAGTGGATATGCATTAGGAAATGTAGATGACGTAAATGCATATACATGTGAATTTCTGCTGAAAAATTTTCTCATAAAGCTGTGCACAGACTGATTGGAACGAATATGTTTGTGTTCGAAAAAATCAAAAGTGAAATTCTCAGTTTAAATGACAAAAATACAACAGCAACAGCACCAAGCAGAACTTATGTTATCGTGGCGTTGAGCTGCTTCAAGTGGCTCTGATTGTACACAAGATATAGACTATTTCTCTCTCTCTTTCTCTCTTATTCTTTCTCTTCACATTCGTACTTGATCGTATTCTGTCTACAAAATTCATTGAAAACGTGAGAAAATGAGAAAAAATGTGTAGAAATTCAAAGAATATGCGAGAGGATACGACAAGTTAGCTCAAGTGAAGCACAACTAACTCAAGCCTCGAAGGTCTTTGAACTGTAAAAAAGAAATTAGCAAAATCAAATTCCTTACAGATTTTTTACTGATCAATGTTCAAAATAGATTCATCAGCGCATTTTTGAAGGGATTAGAATGTGTTTTTGAGAAGTTTCGATCATAAATCGGATTGTAGCTCAGGGTTCAGAAGTTGGCAGAAGTTGGTTACGTGAAACAGCTAAAACAATCATTGAATTGAGGTTGAGTTTGAGGAAATAAAAAAACAAATTTACCAGACATCTGTTCGTCAATGGAATGAACGAGAAGGATGAGCAAGAGAATGAGAGACTGAGGAGAGAAACTATTGATATTTGAAAAAGAAAAAGAAAACAAGCAAAATAAGAGGAAAGCGATTTTGTGTTTTTTCCTCCACTCAGAAGCTTTTTCGAAATAAAGTTTATCTCTGAGAAATGATTCTTTCGTTTTTTTTTTCTCAAATATTTTTCACTTCATTGTTTGACTGAAGAAATGTTGAAAGAGATGAGAGAGATAGAGAGGACAAAGGTTTTTTTTTCAGACAGGAATTTCCTGAAACGATTTTCTGAGAAATCCAGTCAAGTACTTATCAACGGTTCCTCTTGTTTCACGTAAGATGCAACCGGTCTAATGGCTTACAAAGTTCAATTATCCGAAAATACTTTTATTCAAATCAGTTCAATTCGTCGTTAAAGCAGACAATATTTACATTAATTACAGAAAAATATTTGTGTTCATCCCATTACACGTAACAGTGGGCAAATATCATGGAGGCCTCTGAAAAGAAAAGTGTTTCTGACACTGATCTAATGTGCGAAACAACTCACTGAACTCCTGCTCCTTCGGCACAGGTGCACATGCTACCAGCATGATGTTTCCAGTTCAAAACCTTTCCGCAGGTCTTAAGAGATGATTGAAGAGCGGTTTTTGTAATTTTTGGTTGACACCTACAACAAAGACAATTGTAATTTTCGTAGATGTCATTGACTTTTTTACCCGAGGCTATCAAAACAGAATCCATTGGCATTCTTATTAACAAAGCATGTCTCCAAGCATTCTCCATACGAAAGAATAGTTTCAGAAACTGGTCTAAAGTTTAGAAAATCTTCATCTTTTTTGATTTTATTTGCCGAAACCTCATTTTCGCAGCGACACCTGTGCTGAGAAGTTTTCCTTTCTGTTGAGACATCATTTGTTCTCCAAGTTGGAAGATACGGCGCATATCATGGTATGGAATGGTTGGTCCATTACGATCAGGGGCACAACTAAAGATACGGAAAAATACGAAGAAAAAATTTGAAAATGAGCGTACGAGTGGAGATTTTTCTGCATGCAATCAATGAAACTGTGAAGAACTGGCTGAACAGTTTGAAGACATGGCTTGAGTCTGAATGGATCAGCAATAATCTATAAGACGTAGTATAAGATTTTCTGAAATTTCAAATTTAATTACAGGACGGAATTTGGTGTAGCATTGCTCCGAGCATTGGTTCATTTGTTCTTCCATATTCTTACGGCACCGACTATAATGAGAGATAATGAGGTGAGTGTAAAGGAAAGCAATTTTACTTTTCCTCTTCACATGAGCACTGACGGATGTCTCGGCCAGGAACGAGAGCTTTATCCAAGATTGTATTCGCATTTGGTGCTAACTATAAATTTGAGTTTATTGAAAACAAACGTAGAATATAGAATCCTACTTGGGTGATACTGAATGCAGCTGCATAGGTAGAGCTGATGAGCGCAGAGGAGATAAGAAGAAGGGTTTTCATTTTTAGGTTTGGAAGTTCATGTCCATTTACCTTATATAGTGTACTTTTGAACCAATATAAAACTTGTTTTCCCATCTTGATAAAACTTTAAAACGAGCATTGTTTAGGGAATTCATTAATGCCTTTTGCGACGTCATGACCTGACCACTACCTATGGTTTCCTGAAGAAAATTTTGATGAATCACTTTTATGGGTTAATGAAAAGAAGAAATTTTCACAAAACCAAACATCGAATTCGGAGAATATGTAAAAGAATAAAAAACTTTCTTTGTTTTGTAACAAAGTTACAAACAACAAAAAAAGTCATTTTGATAAGAAAACTGATCAATGATCAGTCAAAACATACTATGATGATGATGATGATGATGTGAGAGGTCAAATGAAAAGTGTGCATTTTTTACTCAAACCAACTACAGAATTAGTTCTTCTTTTGCAATTTTAATCATATTCCTTCACTCACTTTCATCTTGTCCTGACTTATTTTCATCTTATAAAATTCTAACATATGCATTTTATAATTAAATGAGCTTTAGACAAAATTTAGAGAACATAGGTCACAATATGAAAGCAAAAATACTGGATGAACAGACCTATAGAGAGAATGAGAGAAGAAGAGATTAACAGAAAGAGAGATTGCTTTCTCCGCGACTCACAAAGAGAAATAAGACCGATCATGCGGATGAATGAGCTTATGGTCTGCCTAACCTTCGGGAATTCATTTGTTTCCAGCTCATACGGCATCTACTTCACCATAGTTTTCCAACCTCTACCGAAATGCTCTTTTCATCACCTTTATATTATATTTTTTTTCATTTAACTTCGTAGGCATTCAATTTGAAGTTGTGGCATATGCCCATCAAATAAATGCTTTAACGTCTCCGATGATGGTCAAGAAGCTTTTGACATGACACTTGAAGAATTTTCCTTTTTATAATTCAATTGGCAAGTTCGCCCTTATTTGAACTGAATTTTTAAATTTCAAAAGTAGTTCTCCAACGAACTTCGAGAAGAGATGGAAAAAAAAATATTTTTTTGCGAATATAATATTCACAGGTGAATATTGTTTTGATCTTTATTCAGAGAATTTTAAACGAATGTATCAAATACATGAATATCTGACCTCTCGAATGCATTTTCAATTTCCTTCTTCGTGACCATCAATATCTCCTTATAAAAAAATTAGTTGACTTGTTGTTATAACCATATGACGTTCACTCGCATCATCACCATCATCATTACATCACTCGATCTGTTTTTTTTTTCTTTTCAAAACTTTCATCACATGTTGTGTCAGTCACGTTTCACGTCAGCCACGTTTTCACGTCCCTTCTCGTACTTCCACGTATCCTATTTTTTCTTTTGCAGACCTGCTTCACGGTTGCACATTTTCTAATTTTCTAATTAAACAAATAGCTTTCTTTTTTATATTTTTGTAAACAAAATCATTTTTATGTCAAAAGATTTGTTCTTTTAGAATAATTCTCCTTTTAGTATGCTTGCTTAACCGTTGTTTCCGCTCCTTTAAGGACTTTCGTCTTTTATCAAAGCTTAAAGGCTGCGATTGAACTTTCTTTGTTTTAAAACTTAATACTTTACTCTTCAGTTTTATCTTCTTCTTTCTGTTTCAAAATCTTCTTAATATTTTGTCTTAGATGAATCTTATATAAGAATATTTCAAACTCTAAGGATTGCTCCAGGGCATGGGCGCTTCTCGTTGTTGCCAGAAGGGGCGTTAGCACTGTGAACATCTTGAAGAGAAAAAGAGTATAAGCAAGAGATGGTGTATATTGAAGAGAAAAGAAAAGAAGGAAAAAGTTATGAGCAAGATGAAATCGTTCTTTTCACATGCATTTGTAGTGAAGAAGCTCATGTTCAGATCTCTAACTATCAGGCTATCAAAATAGAAAAACGGCTCACTAGATCCATTCGTAATCTCTGTAATGAGTCAGCGAGACGTTTTTTATTGAAAATTTTGTTGTTTTAAGGCATTTCTTAATATTTCATTCAAATTCCATTGTCTTCCGTATCTATACACTCCTCTCTTATGACATTTTCATTAAAAATGTTAATTCTGCCTCAAAAAGGTTGTCAATCATATAAATAGAAAAGAAAAATCCGAGCTTTATGTGCTGGTTTTCATTAGTTTTTTCACATTCTGCTCTATTTTCTCTTTGTTTTGCACAGTATTTGTCTAAAGTCTCCTCAATTTCCATATAAAGTAATAAAAGATTGAAAAAGAGTCTTTTCCATTCAGTTTTCCGTTCCATGGAGACGAATTGAAGGTTTCTATTGGTATATTACCTTAAAAAAGACATCTTAAAGCCATTTGAGAGAGTCATTCTCATCAAATATTTCATTTTCTCTTGATTAATTATAGTTAATAATTTATTTTTATATATATATATATACATATTCACTAAAATAAGGTCACGAATAATCATTGGATATAGGGAAAAGCAGCATGGAAATTCTCATGCTCTATCTCTCTCTCTCTCTCATTCTGTTTTCCCTCTTTACAAACAATAGTCAGTATCTGATGATGTAACCTAAGAATTATAAGTTGAAAGACGAATTTCTTTGTAATTTCAACGCAGCTTACACCCTTTTCATTGTCTATTGGCTCATTTGTTGGAAAATTACGTTTTTTTATTGTTAGTCATGGCCTCTTAGTTAACCACAAAATCGTTAAAATACAAATATTCCATTAATTCGTAGTTTGATGCATTCATCACACTTATCATCTCACTCTCTTACAAGTACTTCACAAACATCTTATCCATCTTTGAATGTTGAAAGAAATGAAGTTTAAAAAAAAACATTCTAATGAGACGTGTCTGATTGATGTTGAAAATGAAATTTTTACATCCAAACTCGGTAATCAATGATCGCCTTCTTCGACTTGCTCAACGAAATTCCTCCTGAATAATTGCATTTTCCACCAGAAATTTTATTTGCACCTGCCAACTTTACCTATTTGTATCTAAACTACGTTTTATTACAGCAAATTGAATGTTTTTCATCTTATTATTGATTTTTCAAAATATTTTTTATTCGTTTAACTGCTTTGAGATGACGAACTGACGAGTAAAAAAGATGCTTCGATTACTCCTTAAGGGCATTCTTCAATGCAAATAATCTCGTATTTCAGATGATATCTGTCTTCTTCCATTACCTTCTATTATAGCTATCCATAGCTTCGAAGTGTTCCAAATCAACTTCTCAAACCACAACGTGAGTTTTCTTTTCCAACATCCAACAATGCGACTTCGAAACTTAAACTGCTCGCAAAAGAGTCCTTGATATCTTCCTCCAGGCTATATTCAATCATCTTCATATGTACATAGCTATATTTATATTTCCATACAAATTTTTCAAATATTTCAGTTTGAAGATATTCTTGTTCGTTCGTTGCGAGCTTAAGAAAAGCGAATTCCTCTTTTAACTTTACAACCTTAACGATCTCAAAACTTTGATGTGCCATCCAAAGCAACAGCTATCATACTTCCCAAATCACTTCCTTTACGAACGAAGTTTCTGACCGTTTTTCGTAAAATATTTTAAAACGTTTGAGGATTAGGCCGAAGGATTATTTAAGCTAATAACCTCCATTCGTCTAGCAGATTTATAGTCCGTTTATGGCAGTTTCGTCTTTAACTCATAGACTAAGCACATCAAACTATCTCTTCATCTAATCTTCCTACTTAAATATATTTTCCTTGTTCCAGTGTTCGAATATTCCATATTCCAAGCATTTTTTTTCCAGATGAATCTATTCATTATTATATTATCAACTATATATGGTACCAGAGCAGCTCTATTTCAATGGACATTCGATAGTGATGCGTTTGGAGGTCAGTTTCACATTTTTTTTAAAAATCTTTTCTTTCGATAAAAATGAGGAAAATGGTGCTTATGAGGTTTTTCGTACTCTCTTGCTTCTGTTTTCATAATATTGCTTTGCCATAATCTTATAGATAATAACTGGAACGGATAGAAAAAAAACAATTCGAATAAATCGTAAGAGCAAATAGAATTCATTTCTGAAGTGGCTGGTTCGACCTGCCCATTTAGAACCTTTACCAGGTCTAATTGACTTACTGACACCTAAACACAACTTAGATCATGATCCGAAGACGAACCAGCTATGAAGGCAATGAACCTCAAGGCTTCTGTATCTTACCTGAGCATCATAATCATTTTGGTTTAATCCGTTCCTCGCGCATCTATGAATATTTATATTCATAATAGAGATCAGAGATATTTGGAAAACTTTTTAAGTGTAGCGGTTTTTTAAAATATATAACTAGGATTACATGAGCTAGGCATGTGTTAACGAAGGATGGACTTTGAGTAAAACAGTGAAAATAGTCCGTCCTCCAGATTAGAGTAATACAATAGACAACGATTGTATCTTTGTGCTAACTACAGCCTAGACTGAACTTAACACACTGCAAGCTGCTTATATCTGTTCCAGTCATGATGATTAAAAGATAGTTAATAATACAATGAGCAGCATGATAATTTATTGTTAAGCTTATAAATTCTCAATGAAATCTTGATGTGGAGATTCGACATAGTCAAATCACCAAGCTTAATGAAAATCTATGAAAATGCTCTTTTTTCAAATTTCTTTCATGAACAGCTCAACTCAACTTGGCTCGACTCGTCTTACTGACACCTTGAGACAACTCGGATCAGACGAGCCAAATCTGATTGAAAGAGTTCATTGCGTGCGCAGTTTGAATTGTAATAAAAATATGAGTTGCTTCATCGCAACGCGTCGTCATTTCCGGGTCATTTGTTCTTTTTTATAGTAATTTGAAGATGGAAGCTGATAATTATATGACTCGAGAAGTTTCTATCTCAAGAGGGTTTCAGATAATCTCATAAGCACCGAAAATGAAAACGCTACGTTTATCCTTGTCTGTGTTATATACTTGCTCGGATTGAATTAACCATTTGATCGAACAAGACGAGTTTCTATATTTCCTCATGACTTTCGATTTTTTCACTTCATATCATATTCTTGGGAATACTTGGAATCATTTTTATTTTTACTCTTTTTTTTTGTTTTGATTTTTGAATTCGTCAAACAGAGCTACTTCCTTTATGCTGATATCTCACGTGAGTTTGATGTGAACATCATTACATCACACAATTCATTGTTCCTTAATCAGACAAATAGAGCGGTTGTATAGGTTTTCGCAATTTTTTCCATTCGTTTCACCAAATGCAATTTGTTTGTCGATTAAATAAGGTTTAATCCTCTTCTTGAGGTAACTTCGATTGTATTCATGGCTTATTTCAATTACTTGCTTTCCATGTATTTCGCAATCTCCTTCCGTTTACAAACAACTCATTTTCCATTCTTATCTGAAATCCTCCTCAGTTTCTTTCAACGTTTATAAAATTCATTTATATGCTACTAATATGAAAATTATTTCATATTGCATATAAACTAGATGGCTTATATGTACATGGCTTCTTTCTCATCGTCTTCCTCGCTCTCTTCAATATTTCCTATTTGCATTTTGTGCCATCAGCTTCTAACCTTTCTCCAAATTTATTAAGAGAGAGAAAAAAAAATACTCTTTCGTTGTTCAATACACATTGTTTGTATTGAGATTTTCTCATTAATAAATGTGTTTTGTGTGGATTTTCTCAAAACTTGCCAGACTTACTCCTTTAGCTGGTAACGTTTTCCCATTTCCATCAAATTATGAGCTGAGTTAGTGTGGTAAATAGAATTATATATTCTCTTCTATAGCTCTTACCTTTCATCTTCGAGCAACAATTGAAATGATCTGATTCGAAAGAAAGTTATCTATTTATTTTTCTTCATTTCTTCACAGCTTTCAACTATGTTGTCAATCGGTTGAGAACGGAAATGTCATTTTCCATCTTGTGACATGAAGTTTTTGTCCTCTAGCACCTCCCGATTTCTTCAGCATTTTCTGGTACGCAGTTCTATTCCATTTGGCTATTTTGAACGAAAAGCTGAAATCGGATTTTGAACAAATTGATGATGAACAACTAAAATTGATAGATAGCCCGATAAAAACATCTTCAAACTAATCTTTTCTTGTTCATCGTTAGGAATAAGCAATCTCTGAGTTTTTCTTGTTTCAACTTAATTATGCAACTCTTCTAGCTGTTTTTCAGTTTTCGCTCAATTTTTGATTATTTTTAAGAGAGAGAGAGAGAGAGTGTGAGTATGTATAAAGGATAGAAGAAGAGATGGAATAGCTGGAATGCCAGTAACTAATAAGTTTTCGAAATATAGTTTATGCTATACTGACTAAGTTCATTTTCAAATAAAAATAGTCATAAAGATAATTTGATTCATTAACTAAATGTTTTATATATAATTTCACTATATATCACGATTAGTTGTACATACCGATGCATGAAAGAGCTTTTAGCAATTGAAGATAATTGTGGTAATTAGATAATGTATGTATGTACTGACGCTTCAAATGTGGGAATTATTTGATGGACGACATCGTCTTTCATTCCCGATATGCTCCAAATGAAAATTTTCTTTTTACACATTCAATTTCCCAAAGATTTTCACGAGAAAAAAAACGATAGTTTTCTCTCTTAGCCATTCTTTTTTCTCATTTTCAAACAAAGCTGATTTGATTGTTGTCAGATTGGATTTATCTGCATGATCTTCTCTTTACTAAAGCTTGTTCAAGTAGCTTCTTCATCTCCTTCCTCACTTCTTCTATTTTAATAGCAGAAAAAATACTGAAAAACAGGAAACCCTACTTGAACTTTTGCATGTTCAACGTTTTAAAATATGAATTAGCATAAATTTACGTGAGAAGCTGACGTAATGCGTAAATTAAATTTATATCATCTTCTCGCCTTCAGATCGGTTGCTTCCTCTTTACTGCTTGTCTCCTTTTTCGCTCTGCCTCTCTTTCGTTTTCCTTTTTGCTCCCTTCTTTGAACTTCAAAAAAGCTGTTTCTATGGCAAACAATTAGTGAATAAGATTATGGTTACAACTGAAATTTTTGATAATTAAGAGTACTTCTATATATCTACTTGACATTGACATCTTTTACCTCATTCACTCTCTTTCTCTCTCTCTATTTACGCTCTCTTGTTACAAATTTGAATGCTTACTCTATCTTTATCCTCCTCCTATCCTAGCCTCTATTCTTGACCACAGCTTGCTTGAGCTTGAGGGCAAAGCTCTTCATGAATTTGCATAAATGCTTCACGGATGCTGAGAAACACTAATGACCTAGTATGGATTGAAGCACTTAGTGTCATGATTTCCTCTTGTTGTGACATCCATTTCTCATTCACACCTAGATTCTTCTGAAACTTTTGAGACTTCAACTTGAACCTATCGTTTGTCAGTAATTCATAATTTCTTTGTCTTTTTTCTCTCTCTACAACGAAACAATCTAGCTAAAGCTCGTGGCCTCAAGTTAGTTTCTCACTCGTTGGATGATAGCCGACGGCGCTTTCCATGAATATTTTTAATCATCTCTCTGCCTGACTCTCTTCCTTTCAAATAATTTTTCGTCAACTTATCCGTTATAAAAGTTTTTTTGCTTCTTTTTGCTCTAGTCAAACATTACTTTCATCTCCATTTAGTTCATTTTTTGTCTGACCAAATTGAATAACAAAGCTACTTGACGATAATTTCTATAAATAATTGTTTTTTTCCTAAATAAATCAGATAGAAAGTAAATAAGCATGAAGCTCTTTTAGTTAATTCCTTTTACATAGTGAAGAATGTGTCAGAGCTCACACGCTAGAAGGTTTCCCATAGATACAAGCTTCCATAGTACATGTATGAATATCTCATTCGTTATCTTCTTCAAGAAAATTTAAATTAATGTTATTCCTTTTTCTAGAAATCAATTACACAGTGGACAAACATAGCAATTCCCTTCCTCAAAAATAATATTTCCGCCTAAAAAAGAAAAAAAAAGAAAAGAAAATCTTTATCAAATTGGTCATCAATATGTGGCCATGGCTCATGACAGCTTGTATCTATCCATGCATTGTAGGCCCAGATTTCTGGGGTCTCGTTCACAAAGAATGGAAGATGTGTACAGCAGGTCAATTGCAATCACCTATTAACATAGAACCAGATAAATTATTATTTGATCCTCATTTGGATAATATAAAGTTAGATGATGTACAAGTAAGTTTTTAACCACTTTAAACTTCTTCATAAGATTACTTGACAGATTGAAGCAAGTTTTGAAAACATTGGGCAACTACCTATTGTGACTTTGAATGAAACGAAACAAACTATAAACATAACTGGTGGGCCAGCTTTTCCTTACAATTATCGACTTAATCAGGTTAACTACTTTCATGTTATCGCCATTCTTAATGCTCCATTTGTAGATTATAGTTCATTACGGTAAGGATTCCAATGAGAAGGGATCAGAACACACTGTTAACAGAGAAAGATTTCCAGCTGAGGTTTGTTCAAGAATTGTTCAATGTTCTGACCAAACTCCTTTGTTCAGGTCCAATTCTTAGCTTATAACAGTGATTTGTATGTGAATTTTACTCAAGCCATGACACAGCCCAAAGGCCTCTTAGCTATAGCAATAATGGTGGATGTAAGTATTCCATCTTTTTCTCATAAAAATTAAATGAACAGAATGTTTGAAAAGAAAAAAAAGATCAAATTAGAATACGTGAAGTATTGACGTGACACTATGCACTTTGATCTCATTTCATATGTTAAGCGTGACGTTAGCGGCTGTGTTTAAGAACCCTTTGTTTCAGATCGGATCGACGACAGAAGTAGAATTAAGGAGATTAACAGTTGCATCTCAAAGTATAACATATAAAGGTTAATAGCCTTATCTGCGGAATATAGATATGAACGTAATCTGATTTTCGACTTTCAGGACAAACTACAATCTTACGTCGATTGCATCCATATGCCTTACTGCCAAAGACATCTCACTATGTAACCTATGAAGGGTCGTTAACGTTTCCCGGTTGTCATGAAACTGTCACATGGATTATTATGAATAATCCTATTTATATAACAAAAGAAGATGTAAATTCCATGAATTTCATTTTAGTTTGCTAAATTTGATCGTTTTATAGTTAAGTATATGGAATGAATTACAAAAAGCTGAATCAAAACAAAGTCAACCTGTCTACATGACGCCTACTTATCGACCACTTCGTAATGGGCACGGGCGTACTGTCCGTACAAATATAAATATAGCTTTCAAGGTACGAGTAAACTGGAAGTTTTGTTTCATGATCCATACACTATTCAGCCACAATCAAGCTCAACTTGTGTTTCAAACCGTTACACCGATCTCGGCTATCGCGCAAATCCTCATCGTTCAACTAATTCTCAACATAATCATTCATTATATAAACGAAATCTTTTACAACAAGAAAATGATTTCAAAGAATCAAATAATAACATAGAGCTATATGAAGAAGACTTTCTAAATTCTCCACATTTAGAACATAGCTTATAAGACTATGAGCTTTAGATTTCATCTGTTCACGGCACTTGCATTCATACGGGTACATTATTCATTAGAAATATTTCTTTAGAAACCTTCTTTCATTGTTTTTGTATTGTTTTTTTTCATAATTTAATGAAGAAAACTTTTTTTTGTCTTTGACTTTCAATAAATATTGAAGTAATTTTCAAGTTTCAATGAATCTATCCATCATGTGCATTTGATATTCTGGTGAACTTGCTCCTAGTGCGATATATTCTCTTCTTTTCAATTTTTCCACCCCCATACACCGAGGCCAATGATCAATATACATTTTATTTTCATATTTACTTTTTATTTTGACAAATTAATTTAATAATTTCGCTCCCCTTTTCACTTACATATTATATGGGCTGTTAGCTGATGCGACATATCCAAAAATGAGCGGGCAAAGGAAATCTTATCTTAGAACGGACGTTTATATGTCAACTTTCAGCTTCGATCGGTTAATTGAGCTTTTTATAACATTTTCGTTCAGAATTTTCGGAGAAATAACATATATGAACATAAGTTTAAGCAAATTTCTTCATCTGACTGCCTGCTCTCTGTCTAATGAAAGTCTTTGTTAAATGAATTTTGATTTGTAAGATTTGTAAGCAGCTGATCATCCTGGAATTCTAATGAAGCTATACAGCTGACAATCGCAGTCATGAAGTTAATGAGCTCTCCTCCTTAACTTTTCTATCTCTTTATCTCTTATATTATCTCTTTTTTTTTCTCGATACGCTTTATCTACACATATTCTTCTATCTTATTCATTCTTACAAATATCTTCGTGATCAGCTAAAACTGATAGGACAAAGCAAGGAAAATGTGGGATCAGACTGGAAAAACAATCTTCGATTTCAACCTGCGAGATCAAAAAAGCTTTTTGACTTTCTTTCACATTTTTTCATGTTCAAATTATCTCGTGGACAGACATCTAATCCTTCGTTCACTCCTCCCCTCTATCTCCACCTTTTTCCCTCTTTCTCTTTCTCTCTCGCTCTCTTTACCTCTTTGAAGCTTTCCCTCATCACTCTGCTGAAAATTTTCACGGATTTCCCAGTTTTCCTAATATGCAAAAATATCTTTTTCCTGCTTATACGTATGTTTAGCTGCTTTTTACGTGTGAAAACATTTTAATATACCTAAGCCTAATATATCATCAAAAATCTAATCCGTTCACTCGCAGTTCCATAATAGTTTTCAATTTGATTATGAGCTTTCAAATATGAATACGTTTTCTTGTTCGACTCTTGTAAAGACAAGTAAAAATAGTTTTTTTTTTCTTTTTCTTTCTCTCCTCAACACAAAGAACAAAAAAAATGGTTTACTGTCCTTGATATATTAAATTGAAATGTCTCATTCACAACACCTTCAAATGTTTGTCTTTCATCTGAACAAAGAGAAATGAGGCTTTTGTATTGCTTGTATCATCATAATTTATGAAAATTTTCATTCAAAAAGTTCTGCCAAAGTTTGCAATTTAGCCTACTTCTCTACTAAAGCTTGTAAATTTCATGATAATAAAGCTCGTGATTGTCTTGATGATCGGCTTATCATCCATATTATCCGATCATCAATCGTTGTCTCTTTCCATAATCGCCGAATTTGTCGGTTTATATCAACTCTCTTTCTCTTTTCATCTCTCATTCTCTGCGTTAGCCTTATTCTTTTTTCGTTTTTCTTTCTCTTTTTTATTTTTTTCTCTCTCTAGACTTCTTTTACTCCCTTTCTTCTACCACCAACACCAACACCAATGGGTTTGGAATGACTATACATCACAAAACTTCTTTTTTTTCCAAATTTTCATCAAGTATTCATTTCCTTTATAATTCGCCTTCTAAGAAATGAAAACTTCTGAATGTGAAGGTGAATACGTGAGCACTCGCTTTCTTTATACGTTCTTGTTACTTATTTTATTCTTCTTCTACAATCTATTTTCTATTTAAATCAAAATGAATGCTGCCCGGCAACTGTTTTCTGACCTCGTACTTTATCACTCCCCCAAGTTCGTTAAATTAATAAACTTGGCGTTTTCTTCTAAACTTCAAACCACTCCCGTCTCAATGACCACACGTGATTCACGTGATAAATTGCCAACCACAATCTTCATTTCCGATTTAATTGTTTTCACGAACGGTTGTGCTTTGAATTGTCATTGGCTATTCATTGCCAATGTTATAACTTTATCTTTCCCAGCCCATAGAGCTCTACCATTGAACTTAACCAATGAATTCGGATGTCGATTTCATCGCTCTTTCTATGATTATTAATTATTCATAGATCCTTCTTGCCTCCTCTTCATTCCTTTAGCTTTAACTCATCCTTATTTCATAACTTTTTCCGCCTTTTTTGCTCAATTAATGCTATTTTGGGTGTTTGTGCAGCATAGGCTGTCTATATGAGATTCTTCTTCATTTCTCTTCTGCAAAGGCTATCTGATATAATATAATTGAACGTCTTCAATTATGAATTATATCTTCTTCAATCAATAGAACTGATGTTATTTATCTCACGTTTCGTCTTCATATCTTTCAAAACAATAACAAAAGCTATAAAAATGTCTTTTTTATGATTATAAAAAACGAATATCTTTTCTTTTCATTATTTAAATTTTCTTCGTTTCGTCATTGGCTGAAGTATTCTCGTCGTCAAAAGCCATGAAACTTCACTTCACAGTCGTTGCGCTATCGTTGCGGTACTTGAAGCCAGATGTTGACCATAATCTTCAACGTTTTCTGTTGCAATTCCGAATTCCACTTATCCAAATCTTTGCTATCCCAACATCTTCCGCACGGTTTGAATTAGAAAAAAAATGCTTCATTTCTATATTTAAGCTTTTCCTCTCTTGTCTCCTTCCGTCAACCTCATTCATGAATAGTTAAAAACTATAAATCAATTATATATAAGTAATGTATCATTCTAACACCAATAATTCCGAAAATAAAGTTCGTTTTTGGCAAAAAAAACTGAACCAAAATTCTTTTTTTAACATCTCTGACGTTCACCAACCGCTCTGTGTTCTTCCGAAAAATGAAAATAATTGCCTCGGACGTGATTCACGTCTCATATGCAAATATAGTCAGAAAAATTAAATTGTTTCTATATTTAACTTGAAACCTTGTTAAAGCGAATAAGAAAGCAATAAAATGTTGTTTTTTATGAATTCAGTAGAGAAAAAAGAAAAGAAAAACAAGTAAAAAGCTAATATATCATCCATTATCAAATTGTCCAAGTTGTTGTCCAAATCATTTCCTATCAACATGTTGTGCCGAATTGCTAAAATCACCTTCTAAAATACATATTACCTTATCATTTGGATATAATATTGATATAATACAAACTATTTCTTTCGTCGCATAAAATTGATTTTTGTGACAAAAAAATGGAGGATGAAAAGATGAAGAATACGAGAAATCCTTAATCCCTACTGTCTGTCAGTTTGTGTGTGCGTATGTGTAGGTTAGCGATTGATAAAACAATTTGAAATTATCAAAAACAATAACAAGCTTTTCTCCATTTACACACGATACTAAGCTTATGATATTGATAATGAAAAAAAAGTTTTTTTTTGCTCTTTTCATTCTTCTCCTCTTTATCTCAATATTATAAAAGACTTGGAAGCTTTTTCCTAATTAGAGCTTCACGTGACTTCTTCAATTTAATTATTTTCGAAAATCAGTGATCGGGTCTGTTATCAATTAATCATTTGGGAGCATACTTAAAGTCTTGACTCGAATATATTTGTCCTTTTTGTGGGTCGTCGTGGAAAGATTGTATCTCCTTTTGTATTCTACTTTTTACCTTTTTCAGACATATTTTAATAATTAGAATGGTTTATTGGAAGAAACTTCTGCCACCATACTATAAATATTCCGTTTTTCTATTCGTCGGTTTCGAATTCATCTATTCAGCTGTTGTACTGGCTATTAGCGAAGGTAAGGCGACGGAAATAATTAATATCTTGTTTATTGGCAAAAAGGTTTTGCTACATCGCTCCAAATGTAATATTCAAGATTTGTTGAGAAAATTCAATGTTTATATTGCTTGCTTTTGTCTTCATTATCTTTTAATGGTAATAAGCTCAGAAGTTGGCGATTGATACCAAATATCATTAATAAATAAAGAAACATTTAAGTAATATTTCCTTGAATATCCATTTTTAGCCTACTACAAGTCAGCTGCTCTTGTACTGCCTATTGCTTATGAGATTTTCGATGACACAGTTCAGAAGCAAGTTCCTGATTTCGATTGGACCCCAGCTGAAAAACATCAGCTCGAAATGGTTTTTTCTATAAACCTCAGGAACTATAAATTCTCTTTCATTACAGTATATGACCAAAATGTTATTTATGTGGGCGATTTCAACTGTAGGTGTCATAGTATGCATGCTCATTATTATTCCACAGTTCTTCGATTTCAATGACAAACGTGGCAATCCCAGTCATTTGGTTCGTGCAAGAAAACATTTGCTTTAATCATAATATCTTCAGTGTCTTGTTCGTAGAAAAATTGGATGGGCTCTCTTCTATATTGTTGCTATCTACGTTTTAGTCTTAGGGCTATCCGTCTATTGGGCTTGGCTCGATTGCGGCAAAGCTGTTCAGAGCTTCCACGATCACTTCACGAAATCAGAAAAAGAAGAACAGTTCCTTACAATACTCGAAGAAAAGTTGGAATGTACAACTGATGATGATAAGGAGGTTCCTGCATCGCATGTCAGTGTGTTGTGTTTCCTATTCTTCCTAAAAAAATATATGAACTTTACGCATTAAAAAAAACTCTACAAGAGGAAGAGATAGGATAAGTTATATGACGTGGTGTTCTTGTGTGGAGTTTCCTACTACCATTATCTTTTCTTTCCCGTCCTGATAGGAGCTCCTTTTGAGCTTTTTTCCTCAACTAATGATCTTTCTCTTTTTCCTATCTGGGAAATGCAACTCCTTCTTTGGTTATCTGATTTACTGATAGAGCTTACCTAGAATCAGGTCATGATAACCATAGATTATGATCTTAACTTTGAACTTCAATAACTATCAAAAACTAGATTTGCATGATTTTCCAACAAAAGGTCATTTTTTCTGAACTCACACAAATTATTTGCAGTTATGTGAGCAGAATATCCGGATGAGTTTCATTTCTGATCTTTGGATCGACCTTCTCTTCTACACGTATGTAGCTGGACACAGTATTGCTTTCTTAGCCATACCATTCTTCAACAAACGTACTTGAACGTTCAGTTTGTGCCATTTCATATTCGTTTTTTTTCAGAATTGATCAAACCCGATGATGATGACATTTTCGTCACTGATGACAAGAAATTGATCGAAGCTTAGAGAAGTAGATTGTTTTTTTCTGTTTAATCTTTTATGCCAATTCGTACCACTCATGGTCTATCATTAAATGGGTATCGTCATTTCTTTATTTAGTTTATAAACACAATTATTGATTTGTACATTGATGTATTTGTTGTTTCTTAAATGTTTATGTACTTAAGCTGCTCAGTATTCATCTTTTATCGTTGCAATGAACCTTTTTCCGTAGAATCGGCGCTACACTTAGGAACATAGCCGTTTAATAATTTGAATTAAGTATTGCTGCTCATGAAATATTGATAGATCTTTTAAACTGAATGGAACATTTTAACAATTTACATAAACCCTCATTTCCATATAACGCCATGACATGGCTCACGTCGAAATGAAAATATCAATTACTTCGCAAATTTGGTAGAAAAGGTTTCATCACATTCTCATAGGTTGATTACGGAAACAATTTCATAATGTATCGATCTCATTATTGTTCATTGTGACTTTAGCAGAAAAAAACAATTATTGTAATAGTAACAATGATTAACAGCGGTAGGATGGTCAACGCAGCACGACATTGGGCGACATGCCAGCAGACCAAAATCATTAAAGTAGATAGATAGCAAATTAGCGTTATATTACGAAAACGCACGAAGAAGAATTCTTCAGTACAAATGGTTTATTAAATTGCTGAATAAAAAGACATAACGAAAGTACTTAACGGAGTCATTTAATAAAACTTGAGATGTAATTATATGAAAAAAATAATATTATCAGTTCATTTATATGTTCTCATATTCGATATCTTGTCTCAAAAGAAAATAAATTAAATTACAGTTAACTAAACGGAGTTCGAGATCATTCCTTGGTCAAGAAAGGAACCAGGAAGACGGAGCCTAATAATTCTTGTGGAATAATCTTCGTCGCTACAAAATCTACCCGATAACAACTTTACCGGTATCTTCCTTTCCGGCTCTACGAGGTTTACCAACGGTAAATGGAATATATTTATACTTGATCATATGCTGAAAGAAGAATAGGAGATTAATATAAAGCGTTTAAAAGGAAAATTACCATAATTTGGCGTTTCATTGTTAAACAGAACAGAATGATGAAATACATAACCAAAATTGGCCAGAACACTGGGACGTTGAAACATTCGAAGAAGGTGCAAGCAGTGGCTATTATGGTTGCCTTCATAGTTGAATGCCTGAGAAGTTAAATAAGCATGGAGTGATGTTAAAGAATAGAATACCAGAATTTGAACTCGGGTAATCGTCTCATGAATGGACGGAATTCATCGTTTGTTTTCTGTGGTAAAACTGGGCCATCATCGTCATCATCAAACTTAAGCAAAATTTATTAAGTAAACTAGATGAAGACTTACGTTAGAAGCAGGGTCGATCGATGGAGTTAAGAATAGGAGGAATAGATTCAGGTAATATATTCCAACTGCATAACAAACAATATAAAATCCCTTAAAGAGAATGATGAAACATTAAGGATAGCATTGAAAAGGTGCACCTGAAGATAGAATATTCTGAGTAAGAAGAATAAAATCGCAGAAACGGCCATCACCCATCGTACGGCTACGAGTGGAGTTAATTTATCAAGATAATACTGATACTTCTTAAAAGAATTATTAATGAAAGAAAGAAATAACTGAAAGACGCCACGTACCACTTCTATGGTGTGGAAAAATCTAGAAAAGAAGCCAGGTTTATCCCTCAAATCATCAGCTCCGTCCATGTTTGAGACACTTCTAAAAAAAAGAGGAAGCAAATAAGACAAATAAAAGAAATTAAAAGAGCATAAAAAACGACTTTTAAAAATGTAAAATCTTGTTGGTAATCATTCGCTATAACCATCGATTCATAGAGGAACACGTCAGAATTTTGTAAACAGCATGCAATAGCAATTTTGAATTGAGCAAGAGGGAGTATTGTTGATAACTAATTTCATTATAAGCTTGGCGTGTTACTTTATTTTATTATGTATTGAACTTCTAATGTTTCATGTAAATCTTATATGAAGAACTTCGATATGTTGATCGATTTCTGCTAGCATAAACAATGAATGCGTTTCTCCTTTTTTGGAGAAACGTGATATTACTTTCTCACATAGTGCATTCCTCTCTAAACTTACGCTTTTCAGGATGATTAATCTTCAAGCATTAGATATGGAAACCTTATTCGGGTGTTTAGTAGCTATTATTGTGTTTATGGGAACATCCATACTATACTTGAAAAAAAAAGAGCGTGAGCGAAAAGAACTAAGGTATGTCTGAAGTTAAGCTACTCTATCGAACCGATGATTTCTTTCCAGTATTACAGACCCAGATGGAAATGTGGTTGATAGTCAGGCAGAAGAAGAAGAGGAAGAAAGCAATTCTAAGAATGGCAAGAAAAAGAGCTTCAGGAATGATTTTAAAAAGGTTTGAACGATCACGAAATAGATTTTATGTATGCTTCTTTCTCAGAAACTAGGTACGTATGAGCATCCCTGGATAGTGACTACCTTAAAAGGTCACTTAGGATATGTGACCTATGTTGATTTCTCACAAGATGGCAAGAAATTTGTCAGTGTGAGTACAGACTCATCTATTCTTATATGGAAACCATCGGTCAGTTCTACGAAATGACAAAAACTTGAAATTTTCCTTTGCAGGACTTCCATCAAAAAGAACATAAAGTGATCCGCCAACCATTAGAGTTCGACACTGCCACGAAAGTTGTCTGTTCCCCAGATAGCAAAAGCATTGTTTGTAGTGTAAAAAGAGATAATAAGGTTTTTGACTTCAAAATTAGAGTACTTATCTCAGCTTCCAGTTAGTAGTATTCAAATTAGCGCGTAAAGATGATGGCAGTTCCGTTAGGATAGTGAAAGCTGATGTAGATTTTCCAAAAAGCCATCAATTGGACATTTCTGCTTTGGGCATATCTTCCACAGGTTTCGTAATTTGCTTTTGTCTCTCATTTATTGATTTAGGAAAGTTTTTGATGACGGCTTCTACGGATATGAAAATTAATCTTTATAATATTCGTGGAGAGGTTTGCTTTATAATGAAACTTCCGTTTAATGCTCGCTTTTACCAGGTTCTGAAGGTTATTGAGCCAAAAGTTAGTTCCCTTTTCGATTGTTGCATTTCACCTGATGGAAGATTTGTTGCTATTGCTGGCTTCACCCCTGACGTTTTCGTTTTCGAGGTTCCTTATTTTTTTCTTTAATTCTGCAACAGCCGCTTTAAGCCAAAGTTTGATCGGGAAGGACGCTTTGTTGACTGCAAGAAGGCTTTTGATTTGAAGGTTCATTAGATCAACAAACTTCTGTGATCAATTTCTTTCAAGGGTCATAACTCTGGCGTTTATGGTGTTGCTTTCAATCAAGATTCTTCTCGAGCTGCTACTGTATCTAGAGATGGTCATTGGCGTGTATTTGATACAAACATCCGATATGCCCAAGGCCAGGATGCTTCCATTTTGAGGAAGTATGTCAATTAGTCAAATACGTCACACAAGTCTTTTTCAGGGGATACTGGGCTCCCTTGAAGGGATCTTCCCCTGACAACGTCAGAATAGCCTTCAGTCCTTCTGGTTTATCCGTGGCTGTTTCTAGTGGAAGTGATATCAAATTCTTCAGTGCTGAAGACGAGAACAAAGATTTTCCCGAAAGTATTTCAATCACTAATGTCAGCTTAATGACTGTTATGTTTCTAGTGAAAGAAGTTCATACAACCAATGTAGCTGTTCTGCGTTTCTCTCCATGTGGGAAATACTTGGCAAGCTGCGGAGATAAATATGTCCGTATTTTCAAAAACGCTGCCGAACCGTTCAGTTTGGCCAGCAAGCTGAAAAAAGTGAGCTGTTCATAGTCTCGTTTATTTCAACGACGATTTAGAATATTGGCGAAGCTAGTGGTGATGCTCAGAGGCGTCGAATTCAAGAGCAAATTGATCAAGCTGAAGAAGAAGCTGAAACGTTGGAAATTAGGGCTTAAAAAGTTGTTCTATTTTTGTTTTTCATCGTTACCGGTATGTTCGAGTCATTCTTGTTTTGTATGCAATTTTTTTATTTGGCCTCACTTGTACTTGTCATAGAATTCTCCGGGTTAAGTCTGCTTCTCTTGTTTTTCCTGTGAATTAATGCTCGATAAATAATCTGAAATGTATATATTTAGATAACAGAAATAAAATAAAAAAACTGATTTTCCTGATACTATTCGGTGTTCAAGCAACCGATCATCTGCTGAATGAGAACAAAGGCTATGCTAATTTATTTGGTTCCACGACGTTCACGTTTACGTACATGGCGTGGCTTTGTTCGTAGTACAAGTAGTGTGAATTATTTGTTCCCTAAGCACCAGTGAAAATGGTTTAGTGTTTTTGATACTTTGAAGTTCGAACTCATTTTAGGAAGCAACTGAAAGTTCTCAGAAAAAACAAGAGCCAGTTAGCTGTCATACATCCGAGCTACTGAATTTGATTGGCAAAAGTGTAGGAGGTTCTCATAGAATTAGATTTGATGGATTTCCAGAAAACGTTTTTAAAAGATAATGTTCGGCTTATTGAATCAGTCTATCTAAATACGCTCACAGAGCATTGCACCGGTAGGAAGCTTTCTTCTAAAGGTAAGCATATCTTCAACTTCAGTTGATGATGTTTTTTCAAGGGAAATCTAAAGATGCAGAAAGCAGTAAAGACAAAGAGAAACCAGAGAAAGAAAAGATTGAAAATCCTGAAAAGTTTCTGGAAAATGCAATAGCCAGATGGAGCTTTTGGAAAGAGAAAGATCAAAGCTCAGGCAACATGAGATCAGTTGTCAGAGTTATAATCAGAAAACGTAGTTGATGATAGGTCTGTAATTTAGATAAGTTTCGCAGAATTGGCAGCTTTGAACAGATTATCAACATTAGTTGAATTACTGAAAACGTTGACAACCATGATGGATCGTTTAATCAAAGGAATAAATATAACCTCATCAGTCAGAGTGATAACCTTTGTTCTATCATAATTCTATTTTCAGTCTCTGAATTCATCTAGAGAGGAAACAAAAGGTGTTATTTCATATGCAACTGTTTTACTGAAAACGTCTTGTTCTCTAGCAGAAGTGTTCCAATTACCCTCAGTGTCTTTAGATGTTCGTGCAGTTTGTTCCCCATTTCGACACTTTCATTGAAATTTACAGCCATCCATCGAAAAGTATGTAGGAAATGAACCGTCGTACATGGCCAAGCAATGTGCAACATTTTCTACCGACAATCCGGTAACGTATGTCCCTCGTTTAGAGGTACAGATAAATTACTTGAGGTACGTCTGACAACCAATGAATATGCATTTGTTACTTGTAGAGCGATCGTGTATACGCTTGGATCTTATATGATTTCTATCATCCAAACTTGTATTTTAGTTGTAAAACCCGAGATGTTAGAAGTGAACGTTCGGTATCAGGAATTTATTTCGACTTCTTCAGATTAAGTATTTGATTCTAGAGAAGTTATGGAGGTTCTAACCAAGCTTCCCCCAATGTATTTACGCACGAAGAAATTATCTCATCTGACTACCGCAACAGCGGAAATTCTTGAAACAGCTCCACCTAATAAGAGAGTGTATTCTTTAGCTCCTAAGGTATTCAGATCCTGTCAGATCAATAATAGAATGTTTAAGCCAAACAATCAGAGTCAAAACATCACTGCAGGAAGTGATTATGAGAGGAAAAAAGAAACAAAAGCTTTCCAAAGGAAATATGGAAAGATTCGTTCCATTCGGATAGCTCCCTGAGAGCACAAGTATCTTTATTATGACGTGTGATCATAACGGAGTTTAGCTACGCTATAATAAATCCTTTATCATCCAAAGGTTATGTTGAGTGTACGAGTATAGTATCCTTATGTTTGTCCGCTACACCGGTATCCAGACGTTGTCATCTTCGAAACATCTTGATAAAAAACAAAACACTATTGTTCGAAGTTGTAGGGTCAGAAGTCCCCATAAACTTAACATAGTTCTCATTTCATGATTCTTTGAAAAATAAGTAACTAGATTAACACTGTTAGAAATGGAAAGAGTAGGTACCAGAAGTGTAAATTCCGATTTGGTAGAAACAACTTGTCAAGCATGTCAAGTTCCTAGTACAAATATTCTGTTCATTGTAAATAAGTGAAGTGTGGGAGGATTTCCTTTTTCTTTTAAAATCACACCTGTTCTATTTCCTGAAAGCTTAGCTGAATATATTAAAGCCAGGTCAATAAAGTTAATCCAGTAATAGTTAATATAAAACTTGAAAGACTATAAAGGGGATCTGTAATACTGGTCAGTTGGCCATGAGAAGGGCGTTGAAATAGGTCATGTTCCTTTCTATCATGATAGGCAAGTGATGGAAAATTTTCATGGATTTCAAGAAAAAATATGAATTTGGAAGCCCCAAGTTTTATAATTGGTCTGGTCATTATTGGGTTCAGGGAATGATGACTAAGTAAGTCGTTAAATTTATGAATTATGACAAGAATCTGAAGCTTTTTGATAATTTATTGAGTCACATCACTATAAACTTGAAATTGCGGACGTCGTCTATTCAGTCGATTTTCTTTTCGCTCCAAAATCTGATAGTTTCCAAGTTTTGCAGAAGAAGGCAAAAGGAACGGAAAGGGTTGTTTAATTGTACTCGTATCATAAAACGACTGGATATCTTTGTATCAGAGAAGTTTAAGGATCGTTTTGCCAGTACTTAGAAGAGACTCACAATCTCCTCTTTGACCGTCTTCTTATCGGTTGACGTTGTCTTCGAACAAATGGTTGCCTTTTACGGAACGTGACCCATTTCTTGTTCGTCTTTCGACTCAGACCATTGCCTACAATCCATTTGAGATGTCATCTCCCTCAACATCTTCCACATCCTAATAAGTGTGTCCATATTTTTGTACTTTCCTGATGAACTGACATATAATCTATCTCTCTATCTCTCTATTTTTCGAGCCCTCTCTTTTCTCTCTCTTTGTTAAGTTAGAATTCAAAAAATATTCTGATGTCATCATAACTTGAATAATAACTGAAAACGGACATCATCTCATAGAAATCAGTTGTCAAGCAACTTCTGTAAATATTCCCTATATCCTGGTGAATCATAAGCTTTATTTTTCGTTCCACCTTTTTACGAAGATGGTCAGAGCAAGCACCTGTTTTGTGAACGTTCTTCTTCCCACATGATCATCCTTAGTTCGGGAAGCATGTTCTCTTTTACTTCAAGCTGCCGGCGTTGTTATAATCAACAAGCATATGTCTTTTTAGGAGTCCTCGCGCACGTCGGGCAGGTTTTAAGTTTTTATTCAAGAATTTCAGAGATCATCAAACGTACTGCATACGTTGGACGTATTGAAATTTCTTGTCTTCAGCAGCTTTCCCTTGTCGTTTTCTTAGTTTGCGTTGTATTTTAAAGATTACGCCCATAAAAAATGCATCTTCATGTTTTCTGACGACTCCGAAGTTAGTTTGCCAGTCATCGACAGGTCGACAACGATCACTTGGTCTTCTTCTGATTGCTTCTGCTTACTGTCATTTATTCAAATTGGCTTCAGCAAATTTGACGATTTTGAATTGAACGCTCTGCCTGGGTAACAGAAGGTCATTCTCTTGTAATGAAAGTAGGCTAACAACCGCCTTCGACCGAAATCAAACCGCCCTTTGCCTTTTTTCAAACGTTTCAAAGGGAACTCAAAAGAATATTTCTGATAACTTCTTATGAAACTCTTTGGTTCTTGATCTAGCGCTGACCTATGAGTTATTTCACCGATTCTCGCAATCTGTAATCCTCTAATCTGCTGACCAATGACGAGGAAAATCCTCTCTCAAAGATTGTATATATTCTAGTCGTTCGATTCTGTTCCTTATATCTCCAGTTCATTTCCATTTTCTTTCTCAACCATATCTGAAAGAAGGAAGTTTATTCCCCCATCGAGATCGTTCACGATGCTCCATTCCTCTCTCTTAAAAATATTAAAAGATATTTCTCCTACTATTGCATGGTCCATCCGTTATCATAACAGTATCTTTGCCTCTTTTCTGTCCTTGATCAGATGAAATAGATCTATGTTTCTCGCACTAAATCCTACAGACGATCCCGTCATCCAGTTTCTGCTTTGTCTGCTGGTATCTGCTATCATTTTCCATAATTCTTGTTCGACAACATCGTCGTCACAACGTGTATGATGCTTGTCCGAGAGTTGTATATTCCCGTTCATCATCAGTTTTTCTTTTACTATCTGCTCTCATATAACAACTTTATATGGTTCATCATGCTTTATTTCTTTCAGAATGCAAAGTCTCAATCTTGTTGCATTGCTTTTGTTATGTAGCGGCTCAGCCATTCTAGCCCAGAATCCTTTATCCAAAGCTTGGAACGAGGCTCTTCCTGGTGTTCAACCATTTTGGGAAAAATATCAAACCGGACCACATGGTGTTGTTATCCGTGGTTGGCAATTCAGTAGATGTGCTAGTGAACAAGTAAAGCATTATCAACACCTTTTAACACTCAACGAAACTGTTTTAGTGGACTGACTACGTCGTGAACGTCTCCAATATCGTCATTTGGCCAGATTACCCTCGTTTCCCTGGACCAATTTTCTTCAACGTAACTATGGATATTTCTGAAGAACTACCAATCGACAAAATCGAAATGGACCTTGAAGTGAGAAAACAAACTTTGTTAAAGATTACAATATCTTCATTAGGTTCGTCATGCTGTTACTAACAAGGCTGGTTCAAAGGGCTGGCAAGTTATTCCATGTCAAGGATGGAATATCATTGATGGATGTGATGGAGTCGGATCTTGGTAATATCAAAAGTAAATCGATGGATGAAAAACTAATGTCTTTCAGCCGCTATTGCGATATGCTCGACAAATGCAATGAAGCTGTTAAGGGAGCTCACAAGTATATTAAGGATAAGAAGGCCACTGATTTCATCAATCAAAACAAAGTAAACGGGATGAATTGTTTCTGAGTACCATTTTCGTTCAGCTCTGCCCTCCACCAAAGGGACATTGGACTATGACCTTCTCTAAAGTTTTTTCATCAGAGGATCTTCCCAAATCTTTCTTCGGACCTCTCCAATCTGTAAGTTGGAAAGACCTAAATGTGTGTTTGAACGTCATGGTTTAGAACGAATACTGGCTAACCTTCTCTTTCACTGATGGACGTGACAAGAAACTCGGATGTGCTAGGTAAACAGGAAATTCTTTGAAAACAAAATGGTAAACAAATGTTTCAGACTCTGGGTTGATGTATGTAAATATCATTTACAAGACAAGGCCCAAAAATGTTTGAGAGATCCAAATGCTTTCAAGAACTTCATTAACGAGATCTCGTCCCAAGCCGAACAAATCCGCAATCGTGGATAAAATTTCACAAAAGCATATTTACGGTTCATAAGATGTCTTTCATATAACTAACTAAACATATGAAGTTACTATTTATTTCTTTTAATATTAATGTTTTCGTTTTTTGTTATGAATTCAGAAATTATGAATCAATTAGCTCAAAAGTTTGTTTTTATAACTTCTAGAGTTCACATCAATGTATCTTAGTTATAATAATATTGTATAATATTCAATTCATTCGTTCATCTGATAAAGTTTTTAAAGTAACAATCAATGAGAGAATAGATCCGAAATCAAAGAAAAGATTATGACATAGGAGACTGCGCTGTATACTGTACATTTCGTGGTGGTTTGAATAGTTGCAGTAGTTGGTGGCGGTACATTAGAGCTTGTAGTTTGAGATGTGAGAACAGTTGTAGTTGGAGTTGTTACCTCCATTCTTGCAGTTTTTGTCTATTTTGTGTTAATTAGTTTATAAAAAAACTCTAAGATGTTACCGATAGTACGACGTCTATATCTAAATCTTTTATGAGATTCTCTGTGGTATTGCGAAAAGATGCAGCATTAACCAGTGTGTTACAATATTGTGACAAACAAGCACACATAGTTCTGTAAACAAGAGGAAGGAAGTTTGTATTATACTGCTAATCAATACCTATTTTTAGTATCTGTATAGCAATAATCTGTTATGGATAAAGAATTTGGATAACAACCCGAAACGAATTCAGTTGACGTTGACGCAGGCGGAAAATGAACTGTAAGTGCTGCGTCAGCAAATCACAATAGATCAAGGAAAAAAATTCAAAAGCGTAGGAGTTCAAGGTAAGAAAAAAGAAAGAATAGTCAATTTTAAGTAAAGAATCTACAAACCGATGTAGCAAATTGGAGAAGTACAATCAGTAGAAGCTGAGCAGATGCTTCTTTCACCTCCATAGTTTTGGCATTGAAAACATTTCAGACAGTTGGTGCTAGGAATGACTAACTGAATGAAAACTATAAACGTGATTAGATCACTATTCATTTCATGAGAATCTGGAAATAAGTTAGTGAAAGGTGAGAAAGAAAGCCGAAAACGAAAGAAATTAACTGGGAAAAGATTCCAAAGAGTTGAGTGAGTTACTAGAGTGGTTTATCACATAGCAACCAACGGGAAAAGCAAATCGAAAATGCTATGTGAATGGATTTTAATTTTTTTGAAGAAGAAGATGTGAATAACAATAACTGTGCTATCTATGACTTGCATTCAAAAATAAACATTCGGATGCAAAGAAGAATTGTAAAACTCGAATTTTGACTGTCTGAAACAGATGAAGGATATTACAGGGATAATAGAAACTCGAAGTCAGTGAGCAGCCGCTAAAAAGCGAGGCATTGATGAAAATCATGGGAAGCAATTGCTAAACTTCCGTTTTTTTGCCAAATTTTATTCAATAGTTATGCCAACGAGAGGTAACTACGATTACTTTAGGAATTATTCAAATTACGAAGGCTCACGGAAATTCCACGTGTATTCAACACAATGAGAGAATCAAAGTTATTTGAAAGATAAAAAAACAGACAGAGCGGTTGCTAAAACTAATTCCTTCGTTTGAGTTACACAGAACAACATGTTATACTTCGAAAATATGGTTTTTTCAAAGGTTTCTCGAAGCCTTGTACAAGCGTGAGCATCATTTTTTAGTAATATTGAATGGAAAAAAATATTTATATAAGTAACTAAGACACTTTGGAATAAGCATTAATACCCTTCTGTTACTGCAAATTACTGAAATGATAACAATATCGTTAAAAGCTCTAAAAACCAGTAGTCATTTATCAACACAGACATCAGTAGGCCATTCAATTCATAAAATCAACGACAGCCTATTACGCTCTTCAGGCCATTTCTATAAAATAAAAATAATTAAAAAAGCAAATACTTTTCTGAACTGAATGTTTGAACCTATCTTTTTATTCAAACTAAAAATATGCCAAAATAAGAAAAGCAATAAAATTTTGAATCAACTCTTCCCATAACGGGAATTCAACACGGATGATATGTGAAGATGTTGAATCATTTTCTCAGTCATCGGCTTTTCCATGGCTGAGAATCTATCGAAATGCACAAGTTCAAACTCAATCGACAACAGCGACATTACGAATCATCCCCTACCGAAATGAGACAGCGATTGACATATATGGGAATGTACGTATATGCTTCCTTAACCAGGCTTACTCAGCACATTAATGTGCTCGTCTTATGTGACAAAAGGGCGACATTTGCATAAAACTGTTCGCGCAGGGCGAACTTTGAAACTTTAACTTAACCTTTGCGAACGTTTCCGTAAGGTTAAACGTGTGTGAAGGGAAAAAATTTAAGCCATGTTCTAATCAGTGAGTGAATTAAGAAACATACTTCACACTGCATCAGTCAGCTTGGATCAGTTGCCATCTTTGTAGTCACGTTCATCTGGATCTTTTATTTCATTTACATACTCATCTGAAAAAAGTTCAAGTCGAAACGGTGAAAGACGTTGCTCACCTTCTCTAGCTCTATCATCGGGATGTAAGTCGTCCTCCTCCTCTTTCTTTTCTTTCACTTTACGAGCTTCCTCGAGTTTCCAACGTAACTCTGCTTCATTTAACATCTTCAGTGGGCCATGTTCTTCTATAGCACCTCGATCAAATGAGAGTTCCTGCCCAGCCTAACAGTATACAGAGTTGGTATATAAGATCTTCATGCATAGTACCTTGTGCTTTCGATGGAAAGAAGCAGTTTCATTCTGAGTATAATGTGCAACCGGAACAACCTGAAAATTCAAACATTGAGAAAGAGTAGAAACAGAATCGGAAAAAAAATAGAAATGTTATTTATTGTAATGGAGAAACTGATCATGAAATGTTAGTCGGAGGGATTTGATGAGTTGCTTCATGTGATGGTAAAGCATTCAAACTTTAAGGAGGAGCAACCATCGATTTGCAGTCTGATAATGGATCAAGCAGATTCAAATGTTTGATAAGTTGAAACAAAAATAACGAAAGACAATAGTAGAGGAAGAGGGCATAAGAAAACGGTCCGGGCACACCGTATTCTCCGTTTAACCGCCCCCGCCTCCCAATGTGAAGACGTTGTGGTCCCTATACAATCATTCGGCATGACGACTTCCCATCGAATGGATGAAATCAATTTCGAAGTCAGGTAAGAACATTTCCTCTACTTTCTTGTTATTTTGAAAAAGTATTTATATTTTCCTTTTCTAAATGTCTCGACAAGATTGCCAATCAAAAGAGCAATGAGTCCTATCGGATGCTTATATTGTCTTCTTTGTTTAGAAAATAAAAAGGATAAATATTCGAAGCCCGAACCAAAGTTTTTTCAAAACTTTGTTTCGAGACGACCTGACCCAACTCATCTCTAACAATATTGTGAAAAAACATTTTTTCCAATTTTTAAAATATAATAAATATCCTTCTCCTATGTTCATTCAAACCGCTCATCTTAGCTTACAGCCAAGCAAAAACGTTAAGCCCAGTCTAATCGTTTCATCATGTTTCATATATTTTTCTATTTCCAAATCAAGCTACCATCACTTCTTCCTTTGAAGTTTCGTTTTTCAGTGAGGAGGGATCGGAACATGAGAAACCGCCGTACAGCTATGTTGCTCTGATAGCAATGGCTATTGATTCGAGTCCCGAAAAACGCTTGACATTGGCTCAGATATATAAGGTAAACTTTAGATTGTCTGAAAAAGTTGAAGACTTTGAACTCATTCGAATTTTAATTTTGCACTGCGCAGTGACCAACACGACGTTGTATGCCCTTTCCATTGTAAGATGAAATTAACTTTCCAAAAGACCAAATGTGAAAAAAAAAGTTTAAAGAGGAACATGAGATAAGCGATTTATCCGTTTCTTCTTCAAAAAAGTGAGTGAATGATCCAAGATGGAAATAAGAGATAACTAATCAGACACGGCTTTTCAAACCAATGTTTCCTTCATTGCGTTTTCCAAATTTCATAGTTACTATCAGTTCAAGTAGCTGTAGATGTATACTATCCAAAGAGTTATTCGAAGAGAGCATTCTGTTTTTAAATGACAGATGTTTAACTTCGCATAATAACTAAACATTCTACTAACTATGAACACATAGTAAAATTAATCATATTTCTCATGTGAAGGATGAATCAAAATGAACCAAACTTATACGTCAACTCAGGTGTCGCCTTGAGTCATCCAGACGCCGTTTTGTATAATCAACTTCATCAAAGTCTCTTCCTCTTTAATCAACATTCTCTTTGATGGAACTTCAACATTTTCCGAAAAAATTTGTTCTTTCAGTACATTGATAAAAGATTCCCCTATTACCGGAAAGCCGACATGAAAAAACGACAAGGATGGCAAAATTCGATTCGTCATAACTTATCCCTCAATGACTGCTTCGTTAAGAAGGTCAGACTCCTATCCGAAAGACGTTCGTCTTTTTCGATTAAAATTCTGTACAAATATACCATTTAGGCACGAGACGGTCTCAGCAAACCAAATGACCGAAAAGGAAACTACTGGACATTAACCCAGGACTGCGCTCTCATGTTCGATAATGGGAACTTCAAAAGAAGGTTCAAAAAGACAATAAACTTTGCAAACAATCTTCTTATTAGAAGGCTGAAGAGAACATCAGTTCGTTCAACATATCCGCCATTGGATACAACAACTCAACTGCCTTATCTGAGACGCTTACAAATATCACGAATGGAGCCACGGCTGGTTCCTGGTCTGTTTGTACCGAATGGAGCTTCATTACCACAAATGACTTGCGATTTCACAGTAAGCGGAACAATCCATACTCATCTCTAACAAACATTTTTAGAACTTAACAAACTACGGCAACGATCTCAGCACTATGACCGCTTTTGATAATTTAACTCAAAATAGTTACAGTCAATCTAGTGCATTCTATCCAGCTTCAAATCCAGCACAATCGGTGAGTTCCTAACTTTTACATTCATTTGAGAAAAAGATTGTTAAGTTACAGTTCACACAAGTACCCACCCCATTGGCTCATGTTTCGAATCATCAAGACTTGCCAACGCCCTTAGCTATTGAACATAACCGAATGGACTGTTTGGATGTTAAGCCAGACATTCGAAACTTGGCAGTTGATCATATACAAATGAACACAATGGCATTAAATTCGGTGAGTTATCAATTAGTAATCAGCAAAAATAGAAAACGTTGAACTGACCAACCGTTCTCCTCATGCGCAAACTTGAAAAAATGAAAAATCGGCGCAAACTTCATGTTAGCTCGTCTTTCATACAAAATGCAACGAAAAGTGTATTCCGAAGATTTCCAGCACATGTTGAACATTATTATTATTTCAGCATGGAATCTATTCTGGACATAACTTACAAAGCTATGTTCCATCGTGGCCTATTGAAATCGAGACTGAAGCTCATCCAGTATATATGCCCTACTCAACTGAATAAGCAGTCAATAATATAAGTTATGCTGAATCAGGGAAAAGCCATTGCCTCATGAAAGGACGATTACGATATCACTTTCTCAAGTAGAATGCTCAACATTTGAAGCTTAAACTAGGTTGTTGTATGAAAACAACTTTTTGCCGAATAGATAAAGCAACGGTAATTTGTCGTATTGGTTGTTACTATACAACATTTTTTTCGTATAACAGTGAGTTTCACTTTGAAGTTCATGTAGTAAGATATAAAACATACCCCAACATACTGCTCGATCATTTTCTCGCAGCTCTTTAGTGAATTCTGCAATACGTTGAATATTCCGATGAAATTGATGACTACAGACCTTGGCATTTGTCAATTCTGACAGCTGTTTTATTATAATCTGTTCTTTATCTGTTATTTGTGATTTCAAGTTCCTCACTAGTTCTTTCAATTCCTCTGTAAAGAAGTATTAACATCTGTATATCTACTATTAACATACTATAGTCATCCTTTTCTTGTCCTTCCTTCGTTTGATTAGAATGAACCACTAAGTCTTCTAAGGCTTCAATTTCCTCCTAAATACATAGAATATTCACATGCAGCTTACTAATACCAATAACCTTAGCCTTTTCAGACTTCTCCTGACATAAAAATAATTTGTTTTTTAAGCCTAAACAAATCCGTGATTGAGTTATAAGAAGCCTTACTTACTACTAATATCTTTCTCGGATTTTTCGGTGATTCTTTTATACATAACGCCCATACGTACTTTATGCTGATGAAACACTAAATATGATATGGATAACTACGACATACAAATTTAATCAACCTTCTAATGTACTTAAGATGCTATAGGCGTTGTCATTACAAGCTTGCAAGTTCTCGTCTGAAACAAATCGAATTAACTAGTCGATATTAGAAATAGTACTTACTTGACCTCTCAATTAAAGTTGCTATTTGTGTTTTCAACGAACTATAACCGTACAAGGATAATAATAAAATAATGGTAATAATAGCTCGATGTGCTAATATGGAATTGGAAGAAACATTTCTAGCCATCGGAGTTGCTTATGGTCATTTGCATCGCCTATTACGCTATCCCAGCTTGTACAGGTATCGTGCTGTTTTCTAGTCTGAAAGAGAACTTTCTAAATAATTTAGAATACATCTTGAATAGGCAAGTGACAAACAAACGAATAGGATCTTGAATAAAAGGGAAAGAAAAGATCAACAAGAGATTCTTCTCAACCAAAAAAAATCTCATAAAAAAGGAAAATTTCCGTAAGAAGCGAAGATTATAATCTTCTAATCAACTGCATTTGAAAACCTCGTTAAAAACAGATATTTCATCATCAATTGGATAAATGGGAATACTATCATTCAATTACTAAAACAAATTGAACGAGACGATAATACAGACAGGGGAATTGAAGAGTATCGATTGGTAATATAAAGAGCACTTATTGATTTTATTAGTTTGAAATATTGATAAAGCTAAGCCAAACATTGCGAAGAACGGAGAAGGGTATTTCCTTCAAAACAAAACTATTAAACACTTTTTTGAAGTTCTTGAGAATTACTCAAACACGAAAATCCTTATTTCACTCGGGTTCTTCAATTTATTTTTTCATAGCATCTAATGATCGTATACTTTTCATTAAATATCCTATACTTCTGAGTAGTGTAAAAGATGAAACCTCGAAGATATATGTATATAAAATGAGAAAAGTCAATAACTCTGCCAGACTTCGCACATAATTGAGGAAACAAACTAGAATAACGAGAACTTTGTTTGAAAGAGAGAAAGAAAATAACCTAGCATGAGAAGAAGCTTTGAATGAAGCATCATGCAGAAGATTCTGAATACGATTGAGGAAATTGAGATCGGTTCGATAAAACGTGAGAAATACAATCCGTAGTACACACAACATATCATCTTGTATATTTGTACATGTTTCTCTCTTCAGTTATTTATTTTACTTTTTTTTCACTTCCAGAGAATTGTAGTAGCAGGTGGAAAAACAATTTTTAAATTGCTAATGTCAGATTGCCCTATTTAGACAACACATGAAGAGAAGGATGCCAGCTGTGGAGCTAAGAAGAGAGAAGAGCATTAATGTAAAAGAAAGAGCTATAGAAAGAAGGGAGATCGAGAAAGATAGATGAAAGTGTGGGAAATATAAGAGTGACTGAAGAGGTAGGAGAATAAGAAAATAGGAAAAAAGAGTCATTAGGCTGTTCAACCCCGAGTAATCCGCTTATGTAGCATCCGCACACAAATGACCATTTATGATCATGACAACTTCACCCTACTCATTTCCAATTTGACTTTTCTCAAAAGGTCGCGATCCCTCATGGCATCAATTAATAAAATCCATCTCACAAGAGATCCATATGCCGGTCTTAGAAATGTGAGACGACAGTTTATTCGAATAAGGCTTTTGCGCCCACAATAAGAAAACAAATTTACAGACATGAGCCAACAATACTGGTAAAATGATCTTAGAATGCAACCGTGCTGTGTCTGAAATAGATATGAGGAAAAGCCCAGTTGTGTATACGAAAATATTATATAAAAAAATGTATGAATAAGTTCAGGAATTATTTGTGCATTCATAAAAGCACTCTGTGCTGTCTTTGCTAACTGCTTTCCATACATACAATCCAATCATTCAGAGATTATTCAATGCTTTAAATGAGGCTGAATGAAACGTTTACAAGCTTTAGAGATCACACTAGAGGATTAACCAGAGCCTCAAGATAGCACTAGCTTCTTATAAGTAGTACGTGTTAGAGCGATGAATACAAAGACTCGGCCTGCCGAAAACAACGGTAATAAGTAAGCTTCTCTGATAAATTTTTTTACACGAACTTCACTCGAATATGAAAGTAATTGAATTTTGTTATAACCAAGCGGCTTCCTGACGCTTTTCACAGTTCGCCTTATTAGAAATATACTAAGTCCCTCAGTTCTTGTTATTGGTCTTAATACGAATGTTGCTTCCCTTCAAATTTCTATATTGAGTTTTCAATAACAATGAATGGAGAGTGCAGATTCTCTCTCAGTTATACCTTCTCTTAAGCTTACGTTCTTTTAACAATTTGCAAAACCGCTATACATTTCCAGTTCGATTTTGATAGAAATATGTAGCTTGATAGGCTTAAAACATAGCTGTGGTCATCATATTAAAAATATGAATGTCTTTTAGAATGGATTATTGACTGAAATGCAAGACAGGTTCACGAAACGAACGGAGAAAGAGAATGACAATTTGATTTTCGAAGAACTTAGCTTACAAAACGTTTTTTGTACAGAGAATATAGCGTTGATGAGCAAAATATAAAACTCCACTATATACTGAAGAGATATGTAGAAGAAAACGAATAGTATAAACACTTCTTGAAAAAAGTTAGCTCCTACCTCTCAACTGACTCTATTTCACATTCGTTCCATTGTCTCAAAACTTTCCTATGCAAACCCAACTTCTATAGTTTGCATGAATCTCCTCTATATAGTTAACGTTCTAAAACAATCATTCAATAGAAATCCAATAAAGTTGGAATGTATGGAGTAGCTAAACAACATTCAAAATACTTAGATGCTCAGGTTCCTTGTGCTAGACCTGAAGGCGCAGGCGCGACGCGTGCGCACGCAGCGCGTTTAGAAGACCACATTGAAAAAAAGAGAGATCAGAGAAAAAGTAGGTGTTGAGAGACTATGCATTAAACGGAGGGCCGTCTTGTGACAAAACCATATCCCTCTCAGAACAAAGCATTGGTTGGACTGTGTTCGGACCAGTAGCTATTGCTATCCTTTCAGCTTCGATCTTTTTCTTCATCCTTTCCTTCTTAAACGTGGACACAGTTAAGTCATGGTACCAAAATGAATTTATCGTCAAAAAGCAGAGGAAAGGACGTCGATAAATCGTGTTTACCCTTCCACTACACCGCTTTTCCATTCGCCCTTTTCTGAAAAAAGTCAACCACACAAGATGTAGTTTTTTCATTTTTTTCATGGACCAACTTGTGGCATCAAAGGTATCTGATATGTTTTTACTTCGTTTTCGGTAGTTGCAACGGATATCCAGCTTAGGAAACTTTTCTAAGTTAATTCGTGTGTCTATATGTTTTGTTTATATTATCAATTACCATAATCAATTTATTATACGACGTTACAGTCTCGCTCCCCACCACACGCTCTTTAAGTCATTTTGATTAACCACTGTATACGCATGACAGAATATACCGCGATTTTACTTCGAATTACCTGAATAGGGAATTACAAAAGCCAATTTCTTATTGCCAATCGTATTCCTGTTGCCTGAATATAAGTTATACAAACCTAGATTCGTGTGAGTCGTAATTCTCACTACCACGACATCTTTTTCTTTAAATTAATTTTTTGCTTTCATAAAGATGTATTAGTGATATTTCTGTCTTGAATGACACCTGTCGCAACGTGTTTATCATTATCTGCTGGATTTTGTTGTTCTTACTACGCGTGTTCTTCGATTCTCTACTATGCTTACGTACATTTTACCCAATCTTCTTTCAGTATATCATCTATGAATAGGTGATATAATCAGAAAAAACGTATGAGTTCTGTAGCGACTGAACGACGACCACCTAGCCAACATTCATTCCCACTCTCCGTATCACACAACAACAACACCATTATCAACGACAACGAGTTTCCTACGCTCGGCGCGCGAGGTAAGCCCTCCTTCCGTCTTATAAGGATCATAATGTTAACAATTTATCACTGAAATATTTAAAATTTGGCGCCAAACGACCCTTTTTCGGCTAAATCCCCTTCAAAACTATGTCCTGTTCATCTCCAAATTAATTATCCCGAATGACAGGTACGGCGTCGAGTGGTGGCTTTTCGCCACTACCAACAACCAGTGGCACGCATACTTCCCAATCTCCGTTACCAGGAAAGGAACGTAATTATGGTAAGCATGTTAAACATAAATTTGTTTTCATAGAACCCGTTAAAATGGACTAACGCCATTTTACGTACGGTATTTTTTGGTGGAACTTTCGAGTCAGCGCGTACACCATTTTGACAAAGACGGTTAAAATTCAATTTTGTATATTCATAGCGCTTATTTTTTTGGTTGTAAGGGTTCTGTAATCAGATGTGTTATGTATATTGGAATGGAGATATTCGATTACCTCAATCTTGGGTACTTCACCTTTTTAATGTTTAAAAAGGATTATGGAATTCTATTAAAGAATTCCGTTTACTTATTCCTGGCCCTTCGACGTTTAAAGCCTACAGTTCCGAGGGGTTATTAATCCAATTAAAGAATCTCTAAGTTGAGAACACTTCCGAAACTCTTCCATTTATCAAAAATCTGATGAAAAAATGAAGAAACCACAACTAGCTTGTTTACAAATGTAACTTTTGAAACTGTCTGGGATCACTCCCACACGAAGTAGGTGCCATCCTTTAAAATACATTTGGCCGCCCTTTAAATATTTATATAACTATAACAATCACTGGCACATATTAGGAGTCGGTCCGTGCTCTTTCGCGCTCAAACGCTAATTTGTTTTTTTGCGGGTATTGAAATAATTTTAATTATTAAAATGAAAAGCATGACTGGCAGCTTCTCACCCAAACCCCAGTTCTCCAAAGGTCCGTTTAATGCAAATCTTTTTTGGAAACTCGCTTCTGCTGCCTTCCCATTGGTTGGAAGTGTTAATGGGATGGGGTGCATATTCTTGTTCACGGTCTGGTAAACCCTTAAGGTCTCTGTCAAAACGATTTATTTGCCTTTTTTTAAACAATAAATGAATCACGCGTTTCTTCACCTGTTGGGAGAACTTCACAACCGTATTAAACAAACAACTTTTAGATATTTTTGCGGTAATTAGAATTGATAGATTGAAATTTGTCTAAATTTTTTCAAAGTTCCCGGTTGAATGGACACAGCAGAAAATTGTAAGCGAACGAACCTCAATTGCCAATTTAAAATCTAAGAATAACAAGATATTTTCTTTTTTTTTATTCAAAGTTTCTTTCAGCCACTTTGATGCGGGGAGTGGATCCGTCGATGAGCAATCCTGAGTTCCAAATTCAGAATGAGGATTTCCCTGCGCTGCCTGGAGCAGTTGCAGGATCAGACTTGATGAACCATTCAACTCAAAGTTCTTTGGTAAGCTACTTGTGCAATTTCATGGAAACTGGTTCCCAAACTTTCGAATGGCTAACAGGTTTTGAAGATCATACAAATGTTTATTGTGAATTCAGTCAATTGATAAAATATCACTTTCGAAGATTTGCCTTTTGTTTGGATTTGAATCTTTGATTGAAATGCTTGTATGGTCCAGTTTCATTGACCATTCAGGTGTCCAAATATGCTCACGTTTTGCTGCAAATCGATTAATAACTGAATTTTTTGTAGCCTCCATTTACGAGTTGGCAGCTCATCGCTTTTAATTTTCAGTTTCAGCTTAGTGCTACATCAGAAATGCTGTCATCTGCCGGTCAGACAGTAGATTCTCAAAATGGAACTAAGCCACCTGAAGGTTCAGGAGCCACTAGGGGAATTATTACTCATCCCGACGGTATGTATACTCATCTTTCCTTAATATGTGAGAATTGCAGGCGAAGTGTCAAACATTCCTCCCTCTATGCTTGCTGATCAGTTCGGCATGGCTGGATTGGTCACGTATTTGCGAACCGTGGACAATCCTTCTATTGTCAGTTTAGCTCTAGGATATGATCTCACAACTCTGGGGCTTAATCTGAATTTATCCGAGTAGGTTTCTACTTTGATGTTTTGTAGCACTAGTGCGTAGAGTAGATGTTAGTTTCTGTTAACCAATAGAGAGCATGCTTATCTAATTTTCCTTTCCTTGAGAAGGCAGTTGTATACAACTTTTGGTGGACCATGGGCGGATAATCCAGTACGACCGCATGAATTAGACGTCAAGGTTCACTACAATATTTATATACATTGCTTTACAATTCATTTGAGGTCCCCGAAGAGTACATGACTAATGCTCATATTAGGGATAAGCTACCTCCTGTTAAATTGAACAAGCTTTCAGAAGATGTCTTATTTTATCTTTTTTACAATTGTCCTGGTGAGGTTTATCAATTAGCTGCTGCTTGCGAATTGTGAGTCACTCCCCTTATATATGCATCACAAGTCTCTCAGATATTCACGAGATTGGCGGTTTCATAAGGGCGATGGTATATGGCTCACAAGATCCCAATACGGCGGAGTTAAAGAACAAACTACCACGTATGAAAAAGGACAGTATAATGTGTTTGATCCTCTGCAGTGGCGAAAGGTTAATGAGAGCATCATAGTTTTCTTGTAATCGTTGACTTTTAGATTCCCAAGGAGCTGAAGTTGGAATATAAGGAATTAGAAGAGAAAGCAAAACTTCCTGCAGCATTCGGTGCCACAGGAACTTTAACAGCCCAAAGACCTGCATCTTAGAAAGTAGTCAGACCGTCCGGTGAGAGCTGCTACTTTTGTGTAGTTCCGATCAGCTTCAATCCCCTAAACTTGTTATCTGTTTATAACTAGTTAAGACACTGTTACGTGTGAATTATTTATTAGAATAAAATCAATAATCAAATGTATTTGTGTTCCTTGATTTCAAAATTGTCCACGTAGCTTGCGGGGTTCTAAAGATTATTTTTTTGCCATTTCGGCAGTGGAGCGGTTGCGATTTATTCACTTCAGTCGATATCTGAACAGAGAACTGAACTAGGAGGTTTTCGAGAACCACCTTTTCTGTATCTTACCTGTATGATTAGCTGTTTTAGTTCTTTAATTCTCAACAGTTCAGCAGTGTAGATTCGATCATCTTGAATGAATCTACAGCAGATCTGATGTATTTCTTTGCTGCTCGTTTCTGTCCGATAGTTCTTGTGCTTTGTCTGCATTACTTCGGACAAACAAACAATTTATTCAGACTAGATAAATTGTGGAACCTTATCGACTTCTCTAATTTTTTCTGTTCAGTCACTTCAAAGGGAAATAATTTATCTTATATATTATATACAGGCTGGGTAATTGCACTAGTTCAATATATTAAGGTTGATGACACGCGTCATTTACCGGCGCTTCATTATTTCTGAGCATTGGATCATACATGATGTATCCTGAAATTTGCGTTTTAGATTTGAAGGGGTTGTGAGTAGTTCTTACTTTGGATATGTCAGTTAACAGATATTTATGCGATAACTTTTCACAATTCTGCACTATTCGTGGATGACATGAGACCTGAATTGAAAGAGCTTCCTGAGGAGAGTTTTAATTCAATTCATACCCCTTCTGTTGTGCATGTACATGTAACACATGGAGTCATATGAACTGACTCTCCCATTGGTATAGTTCGTCCATCCATTTCACAACTCTCTATAGAATAAATTGTATTATGAATAGCGAGCTGAACGATCTAATTCTCACTTCTATCTTTCCAAGGGCTTAAGTCCATCTGTGGAACATCTTCGCATTTAATTTGAGCATTCCTGTAAAGCGACTCAGTTTTTTTGAAGTTATCATTCAGTTTCATTACATCAAATCGTCTGGCTGATCAAATACATTAGGTTGTATGGTCTTCAAATATTTGCTGTTGGCACAGAAGATTGAAGATAGTTTAACTTTACGAATTTCATTAAGTTGGGCTAAATATGATTACTTTTGAGAACTTTTCGCAGTTAGCAAATACCTGGGGTGAATCGAGCGGCTGCATTATCGTTCTCATAGAAGAATCTATCGCATCGCTTCAGTCTTCCGAATTGCTCGGCCAAAATACACGACATAGTTGTTCCGAGCTGGAAATAGCTAGTTGTTTTCTGTAGAAAGCTGATCTTTCTAACCAGAGCTCCTTTGCGTGGTCGTTCTGATACAAGACCTGGGAAAAGGTCGATGTCATCGACGCTTTCGTAAACAGATTTCAAAGCTTGTATTCCTTCATCATCAATTTCAGTCTGTAATATTGAAATTGTTCAATTCAACAAAGCCTTTTTTCCTCACTCTAAGGTCTTCGAATGTTTTTGCTCGTTTCAAGCCACAGAACTCTCGGAGATCGTTATAAGGTTGGACACCATGATCTCTTGCACGAAGGATGTTCAAAGCTGTAAAACATAAGAGTAACTATGTTTGAAACATTCGTTACCTATCAAGTCCATTCCACTTGTTTTTTCTCCTCTTCTCATGAAGAGATGATTTCTGACGGCATTGGTTATGTGTCTATCGAAAGCCATAGATGGAGTGCCCAACAAGCCCATTAGCATAGAATCCATACCAGAAACTAAAATTGAACAGCAATATGTTTCCTTTTGTAACAATATGGGGATTGAGACAAGAGGTATTCCCAAATTCACACACCTCCGTTTTCCTTCTCATATAATGGTCCTACATGGCCGAAATGATTAGCAAGATCTACTGGTTCACTCATATTCCTGAGATATTTAAGATAGATTGCATATGAAACATAAACTACTTGTAATTGAAATTCATTCTCGGGAACATTCTTCGAATCAGAGTATGACCAAATCTGAAAGCAGCCGTTGCGAACGGATGGGAGATTGCTGCATCACATCTGTCGTCATATTCTATAAATCATAAATGTCTCTTTTTGAACAACTTTCAAAATGATGATCATTCGTTTGGAATTAGCAAAATATTAGGGGGCACGCGGAGTTGAACCACGGACCTCTCGATCTGCAGTCGAATGCTCTACCACTGAGCTATACCCCCACGACCCCAGTGAACGCTGTGATAATATATACTTGTGGACACAAAAAATGACCAAAAATTGAGTTTTTCGCCACGAATTATCCAACAACGAGTGAAGTAAAATAAACCACAAACCAGTGAAGTATCCTGATTTGAGAGGCATCAGTTTTTCTTGATTCATCAGTTCGAAACCGATAACTTTTGGTAAAAACTCGGCGAAGGATATATGTTGAAGTTCAGCAATCACAATACGGCGGGCTTCCTAATACTATTTCTCAACAATAGTCCGACATGTTTTCGATTACCTGGTATACTAATTCATCAGTCCAATGTGGATTCAATGTAGAAAGTTGCATAGCTACTCTATTGTGTTCTCTCATGAAGAACGTATGCATAACTGTTAGACCAGGCTGGTGGGAGTTCCTTGAAACAGAAGTCTACACTATATTTAGAAAAATGATCACCTTTCATCACCGGCAACAAAGCATGGTTGATGTGGTGCTGAACGACAATCCTTTTCTTGTGATCCTTGTGGTAGCATCATTTGACCATTTCCTTAAATAAGCCATTTTATGTCAAAAGTTTTTTTTCTGTTATACCGAAGTCGGTGAAGTTTAAAAGTCCTCGTGTAAACAAGCGAAGGTGTTTAGCTTCACAATTGGTTGATCCATATATGACAGAACCATCAATATAAGCTGTGAGTTGATTTATTTGATTTCTGTATCCAAGATTCAATTGTCCAAGCAGTGATCGAGCGAATGGGAGACACCTTGGTTCTCCCAGATGGTTTTTAGATGGGAAAAATGGATCGTTCTCTTCAACTCTCAACGGCATACAATGCACTGATATGGTTTCATGTGAATCACATCTGATAAAAACAACTAGAATATCTTCAAAATATAGAAGAAATACCTAGTGCAATTCAAGATTTCATCGTTAGGACCTCGTGCAGTCGGGGAATGAGTCATTTCATGATCGAGCAGTTGGCCGAACTGCATGACCATGTGTGTGAATTTTACATGCGAGATATCGCGATCTTCGCAAACAATGTTTGAAATCTGAAACAACTGTCACCAGAAGCAATAGGATTGGAAACGTACCCGACGAGCATTCGGCAAAAGTTTACCACTCTTGGCTCTTGATCTCGGAGCATCAAAACCATCCTCATATGTAGGAGGCAGAAGATGACGAAGAGGTGAAAATCCATTTGCATAAGCAGGGTAACGTAAGTTATTGCACCAAGCAGAATAAGTTCGGTATCTGTAGACAATTGTGATCAATAATGTGTTTGTCTCATCTGTAAAACTTGGTGGTATGATCACAAGGTAACATCTGCGGTAAGCATTCCTCCAGTGAGGTTTGTCCATCCTCTGATAAGAAAGCCGTAAAGTTGTTTACGAACTTGGAAACGTCAATTTCAGGCAATATTCTCTGAAGTACATGCGTTTCCAGTGTCGGTAACTTTTCATCTTCAGCAAGAACTTCTCTGAAATACGAAAAAATAAGAAGAAAACACAGCTCATATCTACCCTTTCAGAAGCAGTTTGGTAGTCTCCAAAAGAATAGCAGAAATCTGTGACACTTGTTTAGAATGTGGCTTGGCTCTCATCATGTTAGCATACGCGAACAATGGGTCCCCTCTTTGGAAAGTGTTCTGGTCTGAAAAAGGTTTTGCCATTTTTTAATAATCGAATGAGAAAACTAACTTTTTCTGATATTTGAAATATCTCTTTTCCTCTGATCTTTCAAATTGGTTACTGCCAAGTTAATAATCTTGAACGAAAATGTTTGAACAAAAAACCAACACTCACCTTTTCGATTGTCTCCTGACGTACTGGGAAAGTTGGCCGACCCTCAAAATCTCTCCAATGCTCAAAGTTAATTTTTCCAAAAACGCTAGAGTTACATGAAACAGGCATGTTACTGGAAATGGTAGTTTAGAATTCAGAAATGAGAGGGGCTTCTATACTCGAAGTTGTCTTCCACCATGAAAACATTTTTTGTAATCTTACTGAACTCCGTGTTGGTGCAGATAAGTTCAGCAAGAGACGTTTTGCGGATTTCCAACAATTGATTCTCAGTGAATCCAGAAGGAGAGAAGTAATTTTCATACCAGAAACGATCACCGCGCCTTGTCTGAAAGTGTGATTCAGAGTATTATTATTTGATATTAAAGTTTTACTCTCTGGAATTGTTTACTGGCGATGCATGCCATGGTTGGTCCCATTAAAGCACCCTTAAATGTTTTATGAAATTCTCATCTCTCATCTATGACAAACCTTCAATGGCTGCTCTGCCAACACTCCAATCAGTAAATCAATATCATCAACACTTTCATATATGGAAGTGATGTATTCAAATTTAACATCGGATTGGAAGCTGTCTTTGAGTTCTTGGAACGAACGAATCTGAAACATAAAATATGATAATTTTGTCAGTGCCTTGGTAATACCTTTCCGAGCCCGCATTGTGCCCGAACCACAGTGTACCCAGGGATTCCGTGATCACGTCCTTGCTTTAGGGCAATGGAGATCAAATCAAGCCCAATATCCCTGTTGTCTCTCAAGAACTCATTCTTAGCCTGGAACAGATCCGAAATCAGTTTTTCTTTTTTTGAATACAATTACTTCTTCATTTACTCTCAAAGCTGGCTTGAAGATTGTGGACGACATTAGATGTCTCAAAAGGTTTGTTACTCCTCTGGTTTCGAACGCTCTACTGGGATTGTTGAAGGAAGTGAAAACGGGATCACGAGGTGGATAGAGGGACCAAAGTACATATGGGAAAGTTACAGCAAATTCATTAAGAACAGCTCCATCTATGTTCAAGTCATAATCTGCATCAAAGCCACTTTGATGTAACTTCAGACCATATTTGCTGAAAGTACGAATTGCAGACTTTATTTAAGAAATTGTGTTCAATCCTACTTGACGTTTTCTACACCAACAAGAATTGGAAGGAATTCAGAGAAGGTAATGTGCTGAAGTTGGGCTGATACAATTTTTCGAGCCTCATCAAACAGCTTGTCATCTGACCAATGACGATTCACTTCCTGGAAAATTGTTATGAATAATAGGGATGTACAGTATTTACCCGAAGATCATTCGCAACTTTGTTATGTTGTCTAATAAGGATTGAATAAACGGATGTTACTCCGGGGAGGATGTTAACCTCATCCGATCCGGAAATAGCACATCTTCAAAGAATAAACTACAATTTTGCATGCCATATCAGGCTCACCTGCCGGGTTCGGCTTGACACTTGACTGAACCTTCCGTGCTTGGTAAGTCTCCGACGTTACCAGCAGTCCGTAGTTGACCTGGCCAAAATTTCATATGAATATTGAGTGAATATGATCTACCTTTTCTAAATGTTCTCAAGTGACGAGCTCTTTCGGAATTTGAACCATAAATGACTGAAGCATCTAGGAACGAAGAAGCGAGGTTTACTTGTTCTCTTGGACCTAAACCACAAGACGGTCTAGGAGAAATTAGAGAACGGGAATGAGGGATGCATGTAACGCGATTCCTGGAAGATTAGGTTGTCTACCGTTATTTTAACTTTGCATACTTATAAGCTGGATCGGCAGGTGGAATTTGAATAGAGTCACACTCCGGATGGTTGAATCCATCTCTGCAACATGGAAGAGCCCGTGGTTCTCCTGAAACGTGATGAAGTGAAAATGAGATTACTTCCGAAAAAACTACCGTTGATAAGAGCCTGATGTGGAACGATAGATATCATATCAGAAGCCACAACTTGCCACCATGTAGGGAAAATAGTAGTCACAGCAGAGTGAGCCTAGAAAAAGATTATCAATTTCATATACGACTATATTTTTTAATACTTGGCTAGTTGCTGTAAATAGAGAGAGACTCAATCCACGAACAGATGGCAGTGCTCTTCCAGATAAAGCTTCCCTAGCTCTTGATACACCTATGCAAAGGGTTATAGTTAAGTACTTGTTAGCGTTGTTTACCATCAGCATAAGACGGCTTCAGGATTCTACTGAAAGCCGTACTGCTTGACCCCCATTCGGGTTGAGCGACATTATTGCAAATTCCTGAGAATGATCTGAACCTTATTTTTTGAAAGTATGTTCTCTTTGAACAAAAGAAACCTATAAGATGTGGCTTGACAGAATTCAGCAGAAGCTATTGGACAGTTTCCGATAGCGTTGGCAACTTGATTGACACCAACTCCGAATCTTAATTCTCGTTCTCTCAGACCAAGTCTGAAAACAGAAGTAAAAGCATGAGATGATTTACGATTTTTTTTACAAAGTAAGACGTTTGGTGATGGCAACAGACGTGTAAGCTGCCCTGCTTTTGTCAACAGATTTTTTGTCAATGCTGTGAAGTTGTATCCACTGGTTGACACTGGTTGATAAATAATGTCCTACAACAAACTCTCATTGCTTTTCTCTTTGTACTTGCTAACCAGAATATTGGAATCCAGGATCTGTGTAATTGAACAAACTGTTTGCTTCCTTTGCTGCTTCATTAGCTGCCAAGAAGAATAATCCATCAGGAATTCGATGAGAGACAACAACATCTAGGAAAATGAAGAAAACTTTCCATATTAAGCAGTCAACTTACTACTGTCCCGAGAAAAAGCTGTACGATCAGTTTTCTGAGCTTCATTAGCACAGGGAAGAAATGATTTTCCACAGGGTATGTTACTACAAAAACCACAAGCTACCAGAGTTATCCAGATGACAAGTGGCAGAAATGCCATCTGAGCAGATATTTTGTAGAAAATACATATTGATAAGAAAACGAATACAAAAAGAAGTATGAAATATAAAACAGTTAGATGATGTTGGCAACGTTAAAACAGTTAGAAGAGATTTGACCTGAGAAATTGAGAGTAAAAGAATCCACGACGATACCTTTAAATGACAAGTAAAAACTGGAATATCGAGACTTCAAAAAGAAAAATTGTGCCGAATCTTCAAGTTTTGAATTGTTTAAGCTGTTGTGAGTCCGGTTCTCACACTTTGTTACAGGAGGGCTAAAGGTGGTCAGTTATAAGGTGAGCGTCAAGTATGTTGGCTAGTTTAGAGGTAAGGCTGAGGCGTGTTAGACCTCGCGTGTGAAAAGAATTTGGGGGTGCTTATTAGAATTACAAGGCGGGGGACAGAAGGAGGAGTCGTGAATATTTGAGAAATGCCAAATAAGGAAAGATTTGAAGATAAAGTCTGAACAGGTTGTTGCGTCGTGAATCAGTTGGCTAATGCAAACGAGATTCATCCATCATGTCTTGGTTAAAGCCACGGTCGTCTGATTTCATTGTTCATCTGCTGCTGATTATCCCTAAAGTCAAACGAAATCTTTCAATAATACACTCAAATCAAAAAATTCTTTTAACCGTTTGGTGGAAGACGTCAATTCTAAGTAATTGGAGTCCGGAAATACATTAGAAAATGTCTAAGTCTAAACGTAATTCCATGTGAGAATTAACTTTTTTTCTGTAATTCTCTTAAAGCGAATCTCATCAGAATATCGAAATTAAACAATTATTGTGAAAGCAGACTTAACATTGTCTCATAAAATGGTTTTTTCAGCTTTTAATCACGGTTGATTTTTGCGGTTTTTTTTTATGAAACTGGACATCCGTTTGTTCTTTTTCAACAATGTCCATCAGATGTGAAAATGTTTTTATGTTGCGTCATTTGCAACAGTTGGAAGCTGACAGCTTCTTCTCAGAAATTATCGTCTTGAGATATAAACGTCTTCATCTGATAATCTTTGTATATCCAGTAAGCCGGAACTAGTGTGTTTACAGAGGTTAACAGCTTTGACCTGCTTCATATGTTATGCAAAAATCACCATAAATAGGTTTATGAAGCGTTACAAGAATGTTATTGAATTGAATAAAGAAATAAAAAAAAAAGAAAATTGGGTTTTTTTTCTTTTTTTTTCCTTATTTGCATATCCACGTGTGTGCTAGACACACGAGATCGAGATAGTTCGTTTAATTGATAATGCAGACGTCTGGAGCGATTGTTTGCCATTTAATAAACATCAAAGATATGAAAACGTTTTCAATTTCAAAATTAGCATTTTCAAACAACTGGAAAATGTCCAAAGATGAAAAAAGAAGTTGAAAGATGATGAATATCGTGCAATCTTTCAAATATGAAAGATTATTTATTAAGTCAAATATGATGAAAGATAATCGAAAGATAATGAAACGGACGTACAGGAAGTTCCAAATAATCAAAAACAATGGATAAGATGAGAAGACAAAAAAAAAGAATTTCTTTCCAGTTATAGTTTGATCAGTTGTCTAGAGATAGCATATAACAATGAAGAAGCGGAACGAAAGTACACCAAAGCCAAGAATTATACTTTATATCTTTTTTTTTATGTTTTGAGTGATTACATATCGAACTAGCCCATTGTAAGGCACCAAGTTAGCTTGATGAACCGGTTAATTGGGCTGAATGGACAGAAGATTTTATCTGAGACTGGATAAGAGATGGACATTTGAAATTGAGCGAACAACTATAATTAGAAATAAACAGAATAAGCAATCTACAAGTAGAAACACAGTAATTATAAAGATAAAATAAAGAAGTAGAATTAAAAATGTTACATTAACGTTGATGAAATTGGATGAGAAACAGCATGGAAGAGGCTAAGGGACTAAGAGACTTCATGTTGCTCAACTGGTTTATTCACTTTTTGAATATAATTTGAAAAATAAGAAAAAGTGATGGTAGAGAGAAAGAGAAGTCAGTCTTTTTGAAAATCTCAGCAGGATTTGGTAATTCTTTTTTTTTCATTATTATTTTCATTTGTGACAAGTTTTTATTGTAAACTGCATGGACAGAGCGATCATAGACATTCTGTCTATGGGTGTATGTGTGCAATCATCTAATCAGATGGAGTCGAGATTCTTTAAATCTATTAATTGATGTTTCTGATTAACAGATTTCAAGTCAGTTCAAACAGGATTTCATAATTATCTTTGATCGTTCGTTGATCAACCTATCATGCTATTTGATAATATAATCTTCATATAGAATATCAGATGATGATGATGATGATGATTATGATGACGATGATGATATCCATATGAATTGCCATAACAACAATAAAACTTTTTCAAGTTTTCCATAGATTATCAAGCTGGATTCGTGAACTTATAGCATTATCAGCAAATCTTCTCTAATATAATGTTATAATGAAACAATTGAAGTAGTTATATGTTCGGCTGGTTACTGACTACTCTTGTAGTCTCCTCATACATATCCATGAGTGTTCGGAAAATCAGACAGTCTTCCTTAATATTTCAATAAATCTTAAATCCATGTGCTTTTGTTTATTCTCGTGACAGATATCCAACTGAACTGGTCAAAGTCTGCAAATGCTTCGCCAATGTCCGTTGTCAGAAGGAACACACATCAAACAGACCTTCGTAATCGCTTTTATTGTGCGAAAGTTGATGAAAAAAATGTATTTTTTCATCTGCTGACCAATGAAAAACGATTTTGTTCACTTCGTCTCAGAAGACAATCCCCATTTGAAAGGAAAAAAATTGAAAATATGATGTTGAAAATGCTATAAGTCAACAATGTTTTCCACGTGATGTTGACGTGGCTTTGTGTGTGGAGTTTTACGTGAGATTTACGTGTTGAATTCATTGTTAACTCGAAGCAGCACTCATAGCGGTTGTGTTTGATTATTTTTTTTATTTCAATAATTTTTTTTACTTACTCTCCTCTCATTTACTTCAATTAGTAAGTATTGCATCATCCATCAGAAATATTTCTTTTGATGAATGAACACAGAAAGAGATTTTTTTGTTCAAATAATGTATCAAAAAATAAAAATATTTTTCTTTATCATCATCAAAAGCTGATCTAATAAATGGATAATTTGTGTTGGTGTGTGCTAATTCTCTTCTACATTTGTTAATACGCATTTCATATTCATAGTTAGACTGTAAATGAATGTGTATGATTGGAATGTTTGTGTTTAAGCCGTTGTGTCTACTGTGATTTGCCTTTTACAGTCACGAGAATGTTAAACAAGTGTGAATATTTTAAAATATTCTATATTCTAGATCCGATTACGATTAAACATACACAGAACTCACACATCTACTTGCTCATACAAACTTCTTCATTCATTTCTTCGTCGTATTTGAATCTTTTCCAGTTTTTCCTTTTTTTTCTTCGTCATTCAACTTCCCTCAACTTTTGTTCTCTTTTTTTTTGTTAAACTCATTATGATTATTGATCATGGAATAATTCGTTCTTCAGAATGAAAATTAAAGACAAAGGTCGTCTGTCGGCAAAAGACAATTGAAAACTTAACGATGAGCACACGACGAGCACAGTAGCATTGGGGACAATATTTGTACAGTTGATTGACTTGTGTTAGAGAGAAGAGACAAGTGAAGAAAAAGAAATTTCGATATAGACACATACTATTCATAAGAGATTGACAGAGATAAACACAATTTAGAAGACGCTTTGCTAGTGGCAATTTGCTCTTCTGAATGCTCGAACGCATGTTGTGTCTCATAAATCCTGATCGTTTACCCACTTTACTCGTCACATTCAAATATTTTACGTTCCTCTATTCAACTTCAGATTTTTGTTCAAAACTTTTCTTTCTCCCGCAGAAAGTTGAATGCTGGTGTTTCAGGTTGTTCGTAAGTTCAGCTTTATGATTTAAGAAGCTTTTCGAGTTAAAATTCTCTTCTTCTTTATTATCAGTTGAAAAAACAGACGAGACCAAAAGCTCATTCTCGCCTTCTCTCTTCTGTCATCGACTTCGGCTCTGTCACGAAGATGAAGTTATGAATTAAGTTCTGTTCTCGAAAAAGTTATAGAGTAAACATCTGGTAGAACTGTCATATAACTTCTAATAGTTCGTATGTTTTTCAACTTCATCTTCACTCCCCTTATTCCGTATTTCTTTCTATCTCTTCCATCTTACTTCCTATGAAGCATTCAAGTTTACTTTGTCGGCCTCCTCACTGCCATGATCTCTTTTCGAAAGTGAAGAATACGTTGCCGAAAATCTTTGCTTAACCGTCCAACCTCTTCTGACGCCCACATTTCATTGTTTAAACCTCTGAGTTCTCATCTTATTCCTCTTCTTCCTCCAACTTTTTCAATTACTGCAACGTATCGAAATAATGTAACTAAAGCAACACTGGTGAGACTTCCTCACCAATGTTGCAGTATTGCTTCTCTCTTTCTGTTTCCCGGAGAGTTTTCTCATCTTGACAACTTCATGCCCTCTCCATATGAGATTATTTTCATCTTAATTTGTTGTTTCCTCAGTGTGTTCTGCTGTCAATTCTTTCCTACCAATCTCTTTCTTTTCATATATTTCTCCTCTTGCCCTATACTATCTGACGGTGGAATATGTTTGCGATGCCGTCTGTCGTCATCTACATGGCTTGTTTCTCTTTCTCTTCATTTCTTTTTCTTTCTTTTAACACCATTTCACTTTCTCTTCTGTATATTCTCTCCAGCTCTCTCTCTGAATAAGTGTTCAAAGCTTCTCTTCTGCTTCTCATGCCTACCATGCTCTCTTCATCGGCCAATTCAGGTCGGCCAGTTCTTGTCGTCAGTCGGAGCCACTAAGCTCTCTTCTTGATCTGTATTTCGATTCCTTCATTCCAGCTCTATTTTACTGCCCAACGCATTCTTCTTTTTCCGTTATTGTTCGTTGTCGAGTTTCAAATCATGTCTTAAAACTATAAAGTCTTTT